TTACCTTGATCTACCATATTAGTGAAAAGCACTCTTTATGGCCAAGTGGTCTAAGCCATATCATATCAAAAGATGGTTTCTTCTACAAAGGGTGACTCAGTTTGAACCTTGCTGGAGAGGTCATTTTTTTTATTAAGATTTCTTAACTCAAGTATGCAAGATGATAGATTTAATACACAAAATAGCAAAATTTCTTTAGTATAAACTCCAGGAGAACAACACACCAGATCTTCTTGGCCTCAAGTTTTCCACTGACATAAAGTAGAGTGACTATATCGAATCAATTGCTACATCTACTGCAAGGAAAGTTGGTTCACTGTGTAGTGCCAGAAAATTTTTCTCATCAGAATCCATCTTGTACATTTATAAATCTATCATTCATCCATGCAGAGAAGAAGGATCTTTAATATAATAAATCCTGAACAGGCATCTCGACTTCAGTCCCTTTCTCATCAACATGACGTGGATTCCCTCTGTCTTTTCTACAAATATTTTCATGGCAACTGCTCTGATGAACTTTTTTTCCCCTGGTGCCTTGACTACATGAATTTAAGTGTTCTATTACATTGGTAACTAGATCTCAATGTTTTATTGTTCAAATAGTTAGATGCAACCGCCACTTCTTCTCTAACAGTTTATTTTCTCGCACTTCCCATTTGTGGAACTCCCTTCCAATTTCTTGCTTCCTTGTGCTATCTTGTCTTCTGTTCCTTTTTTTTGTCCTTAATCCTCCCCATTATCAGTCTTATCATTCTCTCTCACTCCCCCTCCTTGAAACCGCTGCGTTCTACTGGCATTATCACCTTGTTTGGGGTGAAATGATTTTAAAAAAAATAATAAAAAAATAAATAAATAAAAGGTTTCATTTAAGAAATTCATTCACTCTTAATTTCTAATTGGAAAGATATTATGTAAGGGAAATAACCCATTACTTATGAACAAAAGTTCTTTCTCTTTAAGATCTTAAGCAGTATTTTTTTTTATAATGATGGGTGGATTAGTCTATAACATGGTTGTCCAACCTTTTTTCCTAATGGTCCAAATTAGAAATTTAGGTATATTCATCGGGTCACAAAAGTGCCTTATTTAAAAAGTTCAAACGTTGTGAATATCAAATTTTAATAACAAATATATATAATTATAAAAAAATACTGTATTATTGACAGTAAAAAAAAAAAAGAAATTATACATAGACAAAATAAAATAAATTCAATATGATTTTTGATATTGTTTTCATTTTATAATATTGTCAATATCTGCTTTTATGGTGCTAGTCTTTATTCTAAGAATGTTAGTTAAATGGGAATAACTCAACCTATTTCTTTCAGCAGTTTTGATGTTTTTCATGCACAAAAAGAATTATTCACAGCAGTATGTACTACCCCCATGCATATCAGTTTTCTAGATAAGCTAAATAATTTTTATATAGCTCTGGCTCTTTCCCCACACACCAGCTGGTGTGTCTTGGCAAAGGCTTTTGCCCCTTTCCCCTTTTAGTGCAATGGGGAAGTGAATCTATTAGCACAATCTTAGAATAATTTTTTTGCAATATGTTACTAAAGTAAATGAAAATATACCTAAAGATTTTTGAGTGCAGTGGGCTGCATGAAAATATTAGTGGGGCTGTAGTGCAGCCCGTAGATCGCAGGTTGGACATCTCCAGTCCATACTTTCAATTTGAAATACTATGCTCAACTTATAATATACTAGTATATTAATTATTACTGATATACTAGCATATTAGTTACATATTACATGTAAAAGTATCTAAAAAATTTCAAATTAAATTTTTAAACACTATTTACATTATTTGGACTATTGTCCTCATCTTTGTCACCATATTTATTACAATGTTTCGGCCATTTACGCTCCGGCCTTCTTCAGGTGGTTGGAATGTTGAACTGAACCCTTTATTTCACCCACTGGGGTAGACTGTTCTAGTTCCAAGTGTCTTGTTTAATGAATGTTAGTTATCAGCTATCTCCTGTTAATTCCCCTCTCCAAGTTTTCCACTGCCTTAACCAAGTATTGAACTCACACTCTTTGGGTCCTGTCATTGGATCTAACTAATGCCTTTATCCACTGTGCCATGTGTCCTTAAGGCAGTGGAGAACTTTCAGAGGGAAATTAACAGGAGATAACTGATAAATGACATCCATTAAACATGGCACGTGGAACTAGAACAGTCTACTCCAGTTAGCGAAATAAAGGATTCAGTTCGACATTCCAACCACCCAAAGAAAGCCGAAACGTTTTAATAAATATAGCAACGAAGATGAGGACAATAGTCTGAATATTGTAAATAGTGTACATAATACCTCATCTCAGAAATATAGATAAATTTTTAAACGATTCAAAGAAATATTTATATTGTTTTTATGTTTGATGACTTTTATAAAACACAAACTGATGTTTTCTCTTCTTGCAAAATGTTTTCTCTACTAATAAATGGTTGTATATTATTCCTAGCTCACTTTCAAATAACTGGATAAAACAGACTTCTAACTTGAGATTTGTATGCTTTTGTGTGCAAGAACTTGCAAAATCAACTACAGTTGAAGAGTAGAAGGATATGTGTCCTTTGCTAATGTGTAATTACTGCACCTTGTCTGCAAGAGAACTTCTCTTACCACCTTCTAGGTGACATTGTATAAATCAGTATAAAAAGGAAAATCAAAAACTCTTTTTTTTTTCTCACTTCAACCACAGGTTGCTGCAATGACAAGACAGTGTGTCATTTCCGCTCCAAGTGGCTTGTTAGTCCCCCAACCCGAACCACGTGTTGCATACAGGATTTTTCTTTCCTTTTCTGAACTATGTTGTTTTGTATATAAATAAACATAAATAAATACCTCACCTGCTACTGTTGTTTCACCTTTAGAACCTATGAGCTGGTTTGGTTATTATAATACAATGACATAATCGTGATGCTAACTTTTCATACTACTCCAAACAAAAATCAATGAAGGGACCCCCCCCCACCACATCAATACTAGAATTAACAGCTACTGGACTTGATTAACCTATTTTCCTGAGAAATTGTTCTAACAGAAAGATTTTATAAATGCCAACTAGCAGCAGTACTTACTACTTGGTCAATGAAAGCCATATGTTTCCTTACACAGAAATGCTTAATGTTACCATTACCATACCTCACACCACATCATATATATATTTATATATAAATGTATATATATAAAGAGAAAAGTTGTTGTCATTGTTCTGCAATCTAAGTATTGAGTACTTTTTAAAATCAGCTAGGACTGGTAATTTTTTTTCCTGTAATTGATTTAAGTGAGTGAAGATATATATATATAAAATATGAATAAATATAAAAGTGGACATTGAAGTCAACACCCAGAGGCGACAGTCTGTTTCATGCTTAAATGCAATTGTCAGGTCATGACACTTGTGTTTAAGCATGAAACAGACTGTCATTATCATTCATTCATATATATATATATATATATATATATATATATATATATATATATATGATAGGATAAAAGTATAGGAAATATTTATTAATCTAACGTGTTTCATTTTAACATTTCATCAGAAAATGAGATATGGAAAAAAATGAGGAAAAAAATCTGGTATTTTTTATTTTTGTGTTGTTTGATTTTCATTGCTTAATCAAGTTTCATGTGCATTTGACGTTAAACAACATTAGTATAATTTATGGTGTTCTGAATTCAAGAACAGATGATGCGTCCTTTTGAAGTTCCAAGAAATTTACAGATTCCAAGCCTAACTGAAAAAACATAAATATTGCTTTATGTATGTAAGTTTATCTAGTTTGTCTATATGGGATTTAGATGATAATGTATATTTGTAAGCATGTGTATGTCTAGTAGGAATTATTTATCCCAACTTATATATATATATATATATATATATATATATATATATATATATATATATATATATATATATATATATATATATATATATATAAATAATTTAATTTAACCAGGTAGGCAATGACTGGCCACTACTTTTATGCCAGAAGGATACTTTTGGGCAGACTCTATTCAGAGCTGCTTATTCAAACCTTGGAACTATATATGCTCTAGCATGAGTTTGGTTGTCTGGTCCTGTTGAGCACTTTTCTGGCTTAATGCTTCAGCTCCTTGTACCATGACACCAGTTTCTCTTGTTACTGAGCACTTTTTTCTATACTGGCAAGCCTTTCCTGGTTGAATTTTTTTTTCTTTTTTGCCATTTTAGATCTTTCAGTGACAGGACCCAAATAGTTGTGAGTTCAATACCTAGTTAAGGCAGTGGAGAACTTGGAGAGGTGAATTAACAGGAGATAACTGATAACTGACATCCATTAGACATGACACATGGAACTAGAACAGTCTACCCCAGCGAGCAAAATAAAGGGTTCAGTTCGAAATTCCAACCACCTGAAGAAGGCCGGAGTGTACAACAGCCAAAATGTTGTGATAAATATGGCAACAAAGATGAAGACAATAGTCTGAATAATGTAAATTAAATTAATGTTGTACATATTTCCTAAGTTCATTATCCAGTTTGGATCAAACTCACTTGGCTAGGAGTCCATAAATGATAATAAAAACAATATTGCTTGAAAATATATTTGTAAAAAATTGACAATTTCATTATGCTTTCTTTTTATTTTTTCTTAAATTAGTAGAGATACAAATCTTTTGTACCTGCTAATTTAAGAAGAAAGCATATTTTTTAAGCAAAACAGTTATAGATATGGATGTGGAAGCTTGAAAAGCAAATGACAGCTACTTGTCATTTGGTATAGATTTTCAAATTTGAATATTACCACCACTGACCTATAGTGAGTTGTTCAAATGTTTGCTTCTGAGACACACTTATCTGAATTATAATTTTGGTAGTTTTACTTTATTTTATGATTAAGTCACAAACCCAGCATTTTGCTCAGGAACGATAACTCGTCTAGTGACTCAGCGAAAAAGAAGATCTCTTCAATTTAGAGAGTTGTAAAGTACTCTTCTATCATGGATCCCATGAAGGAGTCTCTTATTGAGCAATTTATCAATGTGGCTGGTGTAGACAAGGATCGGGCAAAATTCTTTCTTGAATCTTCCTCGTGGGATTTGTCTGTACGTATCTGAAAGCAGATGGTTTATTTTTCGAGTTCTCTCTTCATTATGTTACGAACGAATTTGTCTATTATTTCGTGTGCGTGTTTCGTTGTCTGTTTTAAAATGGTAATTGATTCATCCTCTCTAGTGACAGTAGCACTTGTAGTTATGTTTCGTTGGCTTTTTTTGTTTTATTTTTTACATGTATTTAAAATTATCCCAATATGCCTGTAGATATATTTTGATAGATTATATAATAATAAAAAATCATTTTTTTGTTCGTTTACATTGGCAGCTGATCAGCTGTAATAAAAATTGTTTAATTTTGATTGTAACATTGGCTTTTTTAGCACTACTACTTGAAAAGTAAAACTAGCCTAGTATTTCTATTTGTTTCTCAAATTTGAAGAGATTTATTAAGTTATTGCGATTTTTGATGAATATGAATATGCTTGTTTTTTGGATAGTTTTTTTTTTATTCTCTTTCAGAAAGAAATCTACGCCATTGTTTTTATTGTGAAGACTTGAGTTTTAAGAAAAACGATTCTGCGTCTTTTAGTTTCATTTTCTTTTTTTTTTTTTTTTTTTCGTTGTAAATAGTTTGTCTTTCTTTAGTTACGTTGTCTTTGTCGATAATTAATTTGATTATTTAGATATTTTAATAAATAAAATGATAGATTTTAAAAGTTAAAAAGAAAACCCTAGGTACATACAATTCAATCGCTCACCTGTGTAATTTTGAAATTTCTGTTTCTTCTTAACTGAAAAGTTACGATTTTAAATCGACCAGGTTTGAATGCCGGCGAAATGAAAAATTGTGGACAATTTTGCCCTTTTTTTTTTTTTTTTTTTCTTATTTTTAAAGCTATAAATTTTCTCATTTGTATTCTTTTTAGTTTTATGTGATTAACTACTATTTACATTTTTTTTTTTTTCTAAAAAAAAAAAAAAAAAAAGAAGATAAAACGTGTTTTCAAGACAACATAATTAAAAAAAAACAAAAAAACGAATCCCGTTGTGTAGTATGAGAATTGAAGAAAGAAATAAGGTTACAATGGGTAAAAATCGTTTAGGGAAATTTTCCCTTTTTTTTGTGGTTTAAAATAAATTGATTATCACTGCATTAAGTTAAAAAATCATAAGTTAACACTAACACAACAGTTAATAATTTGTCTTTAAGCAAAATTTGCATCGATAATTTTTTAGGAATTTTTCTATTTATAAATTTTAATGTTTTTTTTTTTTTCCTTTAAGTATTTTCTAAAAGATTGCTTATCTTTTTCTACTGAATAAATAATATTCATCTTAAAAAGTTCTTAAATTATTTTTAATTCATGTCTTTCGTTTTTTTTTTTTAAACAAAAGAAAATATAGTGTTAGATTTTCAACGAAATTTCTTGTTTACGATTGTGTATACACAAATAATGCGAAGTATTTCCACCTGTTATTTCTCTTTAGTCTTTCGTTATACATTTTATTTTTTTATCTTTACCTTTTTTGCCTGTCCGATTACTGAGAAAATGAATGACGAAGTCGTTTAACAAATCGCAACATGTCTTTGTTACTTAAAAGTACTATTATTTAAAATCCTCTTTTTCAAGGAATTTGACCTGGAAAACAAGTGAAAATGAAATTAGAACAATTCTCAGAATTAATAATAGTATTTTTAAATTTTCATTTATACTTTTAATAAGTATTTTCGATAGTGTTTTTCCACATAAATGAAAAAGACTCTGAAAACTTTATCAAAATTAATTTTGGGATTAATTGAGAATTATTTAATGCCAAAAATTTAGGTATATACACAGTTGTTTTTTTATTTTATTTTAAGAGGTTTCTCTGAATTCTTTAGTTCAAGAATTAAATGATTAGTCTATATTTTTAATAATGTTCACCCAATACAAGGCCCAAGAGCCTCCCAAGGTTACTGAATGAGGTTGTTGTGTGAGCATGAGGATGAAGTAAGAAGTGCAGCTGATATGTAGGAAAGATAACAGCTAACCTTAGCTTAGGTTAAGATTGTAATCATGAGGGGAAAGTATCCACTTTGGAGGTAAAAGTTCTTGGGAATAAACTGTTAGAGATGAACTTTCTTCTTAATAGAATATGAATGGATTTCTTGGTTTGTCTCAGTGTATGTAGAATGGCAAATTTTAGCTGTAAAGGTCAAAACTGGTGGAACTAGGGAATGCATCTCGTCAGAACATTTGCCATGGAATTAACGAGAGATTGGCAAGAGGCTTGTAACATTTAGTGACTTGTCTGATAAAGGGGTAGTAGAGTGAAAATAATTCATCGCCCTTATGATTTTGTGATATTTTCATGATTTTATTTAGTACAGCTTGATTAACCATAATAAACAAGCAATAAGCTCAAAACCATATTTGCCCTTTGGATTATTATTAAAATAATTATAAAAATGAAATTTAAAATTGAGATATGATGCAAGAAGAAATTTTCTTCAGTTTGCCGATCTATGCCTTTTGACTGTTTTATTGGTTATCTAGCTTTGCTCACAATGCCTTAGTATTTGTTTCAGGTTGAGCTTCCATAGTTAACCTCAATCCTCCATTGTTAAGTGACAGTTTGTGACCATGACTAAGGTTGTCATGAAGATCCAGATTGCCAGAAGTTAATTTTTGGAACTAACGTCATATAGGCTGTTCTGAAGATGACCCAAACCCATGAGCACTGTTAGTATTGCAGGTAGTTTCGACACTGCAATTGCAAGGTTTGACCTCTTGGCATTAAATGACATGAAATCTATTCAACTTTGCTTTGATACCCTATATAAAAATAAATAAAAAATAATTCAAACAACCCAAGAAAAATGAATTGCAGAACTTTAAAATGTATAGTTGCATGCATAAACAAAAAAAAAGTGAAAAATGTTCCAACCTTGTATATTCTTGCTTAAAACATAAGTCTACAATTATTATCTTTTCTTGCTTGACAGCTGTTTATTGCCAGATTCTCGATATCTAATTTTTTAACCTCTATTAATTTTTTATATCATTTACAAGTTAATAATTTAATTGATAAATGCTTACTGAGAACTATCTAATAAAATATGATTAGTGAGTTAAAATTGTCTTAGAAAAAGTAAAGTGGTGATATGTGTCTTGTTAAAATCAAAGCATAATCCTGTTGTAGATATAAAATGGTCATCCATTTCTTGGTTGTACAATATTATAGCCATCGAATTAAATATCTTAAAGTAGAATACATTTGATATGAAACCTGTTTTGATTGAATTTGTTTTATCACAATCAATATTTTACTTAATACATTAACTTGCCCAATTTATTTATTTTGGATGCTTTTACCCTATATATATTTAGAAACAGTTTTGTCATTAGTTTTGGCTCTGTTTCAATAGTTCACTTTAAACTTTTTTTAAATCTTTTTTTATTTTATTTTTTTCATTCACTGCATCTTGCTTTTTTCAATGAATCATGTCATTGCATTAAATAGTGATGGTTAATTGATATTCTTGGTTTTTCATATAAATTTGTCCAGATATAGGAAAGACTACATCACCCTTGTCTAATTCAAAATATTTTGTAAAACATAGATGCTTGTTTGAAAATTTTGTATGCCTCACTTGAATATTTTAAAAACTTTTAAGTATGTTTATTTTGTGCATTTTATACATTTTTTGCAGTAATGAAATTAATAAAAGGCACGTAACAATATTCATCATTAAAATAATTTTTTCTGCTTATATGCAGGCTTGAACTAAAATTTTGAAAATATAAAAAAATGAATGATAGGCATTTTTCTATTCCCATCCAACATGTACTGATTAAACATGAAGTTTAATATGAACCCACTATAACATTGCTATAAGTTTTATTTGTTGCAAATGTGTTGTATATCAGTTACAATTTCAAGCCAATATATTTTTTAGGTTTTAGTTTATGAATGATTTGATGAATTCTATACAAATGTAATAGTTTATTGCAACATTTCATAACAATGTTTTTTTGTTATCACCCTATTATAGTTGAGTCTTGTGTTGACTTTACTGGCAAAACAAATTATTTTCATGATAAAATAAATGATAAGTATTCAGTTGAGGATAATTGATTTTTCTTAAGTGGATAAAGTTTTGAAGAGAAATCTGGGTATAGTTCAATTCCTTGTTTCTGTAATGCTCAAAGTCGGGGTTTTTGGTTTTATGTTGTAATTTGAGCACCAATATCTTTGATGACAATCAAATCAAAACCATCTTCCTTTCATGTAAAATATTTTTCTAAATATACATTTTTAACTGAAGAAAAGTCTATTATATCCTTATGCATTATGGATAGTTATGAAATTCAAAATGATAGGTAACAGATTTATTTTCTCAAACTTTCAAATATTTCTCTAAAAGTTTGCTGTAATGACGTTGGACTTAACCACTTTTATCGTTTGTCAGTGTCTGATAATCAAATATATTTTACAGGTAAGGTATTTGTATACTAAATATGGAAATATCTATTTCAATATCAAATTCCTAATAAACAAGTTCTAATCGTTCCATCTGGTCTTTACAGCTTTCAATTGCACAAGTTCAATACTCTGCAAATTTTTTTGAAGTTGAAACGATTACATTAAAATACCTCCCTCCTAAATATGTTAAACTGAAGATTTTTGAAATGGCCAATTCATTGGTCTCTTTATAAAGTTATTTAATCATCTTTGAGTTTTGATGACAGATATACCTTCCTCCATTACTTCCACATGACCTGACAATAACATGTACTTTTTAAAGTGTTTTCAGCCTTAATGAAAAAGACTGTTAATAAATATTTTGATAGTCAACCTAAATTTTACAAGTTGAAATATTTATGCATGCACCAATGATAATTTATCTTTAAATTTCAATAATATGTTTCCATGCTTTCTCATCTGTTAAATTCAGAATAATAATCTAATTTGCATTTTTTTTTTTTTTTTTTGTATTTGTTTAACATTAAATTTCATGTTCCTTAAATTTTAGCCAAGAAGTAAGTTTGCATAGATGAAGCTGCTTTGGAATTTCAAAACTCATTTGATCTTGAAATTTCATCAAATGAGTACACAACATTGAATATTTTATGACAATGGAAATCTTTTTAATTTTGTTTTATGTTGTCTAATTTCACTTTTAAACTTCATAGATTGGTCATTGAAATCTGACCAAAATCAGTTTTAAGTGATCTCCATGCAACATGGTGAGAGTGAATTCAAAGATCATTTGATATTTGATTTTGCTGTTTTAAATTTTAAATTCAAGCTCATTCTTTTTTTCTTAGATTAGGTAATTGATTTATTTTGGCTATATAATCATTGAATTTTAGAATCCATTTTCCTCATTGATTTTTGTCTTGGCAATGATCATGTATATTATTTGTTGAAGATTAGGTGGTGGATTATGAATTTTTCATTAATCATTCAAATTGCTCTGTGATGGCCATTGACTTCTGCTTAAGAACCTTATCATCGAATAATGCTACATTGCTATAATCTCTTGATATTTTGACCATCAGACATACCGTAATTCCCCATGTATAATACGCATTTTTTTTTCTAAAAAATAAGCAAAATCAGGGGTGCATATCTTGCACAGCTACAAAAATATCTTTAAAAAATTGCCGTTAAATAAAATAATTATCATAAAACTAAATTAGAATAATATTATTCTGTGTTTAAAACCATATTTTTAAATAATAGTAGGGAATGCTGGCTGTAATGAAATTGGAGAGGTACAATTTATAGGCTTTGATTACCAAACAAAGGCTGCATATTATGCATGAGTAGAAGCATTTTCCTGCACTCTCAGCACAATTTTAGGTGTGTGTATTATGGATAAAGGCGTATACATGGGGAATTACAGTAATTTTGTTTTGTAGTTTGACTTGGAATTGGATATAGAAGTAAATAAGATTTAAATTGTATGTCGGATTGTGTTGGAAAATTATTTTGCTAAGTGATATGATCAGTACATATTTTTTTTGCTGAAACTAAGTTTCTATTTTATTTCTTTAAGTCGAATTAATTTTAGGGCAATATTCAATTTTTTCTATTTTAATAATATTGTTTTCTCAAATTGTGCAACACTTTTATTTTAATGAATTTCAATATTCCTTTATTAGCATCTTACAGAACCAACCTCTATCCAGTCAGTATTAAGACTTCCTGCTAATTCTATTATTTCTTTCACTGTCTGTCTTGCATTACAATTTCAAGTAATCTCTGCATTTTAATTTATAGCAACAATACTTTACAAAAATACACAATAGCTTTAAAGTTTTTATTATTTATATAACTAGTGGGACAAAGAAGCATACGCAGTGATGAAATCAAATCAACTTGGTCCATTCAAACTGTAATGTATAACTGCTTTAATTAATAAAGTTCAAACGTGCACAAATTCTCAGCGACCAGTGCATTATTTTCTGTTAATTCTAGATAGTTTATATTGCCTTTTTGGATCACATACCATTGAAGTTTTTGTTTCACTTTTTTAAATCAGATAATGATTCAATGTGGTATGAAATTAGTGAGAAGAGATGCTAATTTGTACTTTTGATAAGGATAGATAATAACCCCCTTTCTTTCATTAAGTTTAATATGTATTTGTTAAAGTGGGTAAAACATGCTACCTCCTTAAATGTTCACTAAAAATGAAAGTAAACTAATTAAAGAATATCTCAGTAAAAAAAAAAAAAAAAACCTGTGTAAAATTATATAAAGAATGGCAGTTTTTAGGATTATTTACTGTTAACAATTTTGTTAGACAACTTTCTGACCAATTGTGTCATTAGTTGAGAGCAAAAAATAGAAAAACAAACTGATTACACTACATTTTGTATATTATGTGTAAAAAGGTGAGCTTTTTAAAAAAAAAATTACACTCAGGCTTTTCACTTGTATGCAATTTATAAAGGATCAATCAGTTAAGTGCCATATGTGATACACGCTTGGACAATCATGCCTCTTTCGATTCATGACTAACTAGATAGAAGATTTTCCCACAGTAGGTTGCCATAAAGGATCAGTCAGTTATGTGCCATGCGTGATACACGCTTAGGCAATCATCTATCTTTTGATACATGACTGATGAGGCAGATTTTTTCCCCACAGTAGATTATCATTTTTTTCTGCAATAAGCCAGTTGCCATCTAAGGCTGTAGAACCCAGTCTGTTCTGCTATTTACCCATAGCTGGGGGAAGAAGAGGATTCATACCTTTCCCAAAGGTATTAGCATGTATGTGAATGTAATGGATTCGACTGGAATTCAAACTCTGCTCTCCAATTCCTCAATCCGAGACATTATTCATAATTCCACCGTGCCTCCCCTAACTCCATCATGCTTTAGTCCGTAAATTGCATTTAATAGTTATCTTCTTTGAAAATTTTTTTTTTTCTAGTTCAGCTCAAAATTATCATTTAGTTGCAAAACACCTGGATTATTTTTTTTAATTTTTTTTTTTTTACTGTCTTTACATTAGTACATACTTCTGCTACTTAGAAAATCAAATTTTTATTTTTATTTATAAATGTAAATTCATAAACTCTTGTACAGTTTTTGACCTAAGAGGTAATATTGGGTCTAACCTTGCAAACACATACTTTTCAATTTTATAAAGATTTATGCTTTTTTTTTTTTTTTTAACTTTGGTAGCTGGCCATAGCAAGCTTCTATGAAGATGACCATGAAATGGATGTGGGCATGTACTCTGCTGCTGCCTCTATGTCAGAACCATCCAGTCCACCATCCACAGGACCAAAACTTGCTGAAGCTGCTTTTAAACCACAACAAGAAAAGCCCAAGTAAGTAAAGTGTAAAAAGATACTTCAAATAACAAATCATTTCCTGTTTAGGAATATTTATTATATAGATGGTTGTATTTTTAATTGTGTTGATCTGTTTTAGTGGAAGATGAAAAAATTTATATAATGAATTGTGATTTTTTTTTTTTTTTTTTTCACTGGGCAGATTGACCCAATTCTTGGTTGCTATTGTTTTAATTTCATAAAATCTTACTACAGAACTATTTCTTGCTTTTGATCTTATTTTTTAAAGGGAGACTTGAATTGGAGAATTAAGATTTTGCTACAGAAATGGATTCTAAAATTATATTAATTTAAAAAAAAAATCTTGGTTTGACATGAATTATATAAATAACCTTGCAAATTGCCAATTCACATTTTGCTGTAAAGAAAAAATAGTACACATGACACCACAAAAATGTTATAACAACTTTTTCAGTAGAGATGGGCAGTTTAACCCAAAAACTGACATTTTGGTTTTATCTTCACACCATGAAACTGTATCAAAATTTTTTATGGAACCAAACTCGTTCAGCTTAGTTCTATCACTACTGAGTGACCATATCCAAAGAAACACTATTGAAAAAGACTTTCAGATGTTAATAAAATTAAATTTTATCAACATTTATACAGTTGTAATAAAAAAAGATTGAACAAAAATGTTAAATGTTAAAAACATTTGACTAGTTTTAGGAAATAAATGTGAAATCTGTTTGTTTACAAAAATGAAGAAGAAAAAAAGAAAATACGACAGATATGACACTTGGAAATCCTAATGTCTTCAAACAGAAAAAAAAATGGAAAATACGTCTGGAATCTATTTGTTTCAGTTTTTAAAAAAAACAAAAAAACATTTTGCGGTAGAATTAAGTTAACAAAATAGTAAAAAAAATAAAAAAAATAGTTTCGTCTTGATGTTACATTACATTTTATGAAGTCGGCCTTTTTTGTAAGGCAAGAAGGATACATTGTTTTCTAGTAAGCTAGTACACCAATCACGAAATAAAGTTGTTGTAAATAAGAAAAATGAATGATTTTATTTTTTTTTTTTTTTTTAGTAAATAAATTTGTTTTTTTATCTAGGGAATGCACCTAAATTAGATATTAAGAATAATTAAAAAAGTTCTTAATTTCACTTTTAAAATATGTATATTTCTAGATATGTGAGTCTCTAGTATAAAATTGTTTGTTTTCTACAACTAAAATTGTTTCCATCTAGCGAATACACCTAAAATTAGATATTCAAAAAATGTATGTATTTTCAAAACTGCAAGTCGTATTTTAAACCCAAAGTAAAAATTATTCTTTTTTAGTCACTAGTTAGTGTCAGACAGTAGTTTCAATAATTTGAAAGTTCTTTTGCCACATATTTATTACTATCATTGCTTTTTCTTTTTTGTTTTTTTCCTTACTTTATCATTTTTGAAGGAAGTTGCTTCCTTCGGTGAGAGAAGAAATTAATATCTTCCTGGTTGTAGTTTAGGGTGTTTTCCAATTGAGTGTGCAATTTCAAGAATATTGATGAAGATTGGTCACTTTGATTTTGCGAAACAAAATAATGTGTAAAATTTAGTCTCAAAAAAAAAAAAATATATTTTGCATTTTCAGGTGGTCGAAACAAAATACTGTTTTCTGTAAAAAAAAAAAAAAAAATCAATGAAAAAGCACGTACAAATCAATATTTAGAAAGATTTTATTTTCTTTCTTGCCATATTTTTAATATTGGACCATAAATATACGAGATACTGTGAGTTGAATGGATTAAGTTGCAAATTTATCAATCTCAAATGAAATCAGATATTGACTGGAAATGCTATCATTAAACAAGAAAATGAATGGCTTCCTTAGAAAGCAAATATACAAAATTAAAAACTGAAAAACTGAATTGAAAACCGTGATATCAAGGGAAAAAAACAGCAAACTGATACCGTAACATAAATTGCCAAACTCTATCTTTAAGTATGCTGAAAGATAGACCTTTCATATTTTATTTAATAAAGTGATTGTGACTTAATTTTTTGTTTCTCATTACTGCTAGTAGTTGTGAATTTTCTGCTTATTTCCATGATGATTCAGCATTTAACTTAGTATTTGTACCAAGAAAATAATGTCTGTTTACTTTTTATGAATTTTTGTATTAAAATTATAATTTTAAATTTGCATATTTCAAATATTGCTAAAAATGTTAGAAAAACATTAATTCTGCAAGAATTAATAAAATTTCTAAAAATTCATCAAGTTAAAGCTGAAAAGACAATATTTAATTTTGTTTCTAATCTCCTTCATTTGCAAATTAAAGTAAAATGAATTGCTTAAAATTTTCTTTGCTTTTATCGTGTTGAAACTTGGAAAGATTGTTCAATATTTTAGCTTTGAATTTTTGAATGGATATCTAGATAACCCCCTCACTTTTTTAAAAACATCTTTTTGGTGTTTGAATGTATTTATGGTCTTTTCAAGAGTAAGAAAATGTTAGAATTAAAATTTTTTTTTTTAAAGCAGATAATATATATAAAATTATGCTTCTTAATCTCTCTATTGGTATGTTTGCCTCTGTTATGTAATGCATGTTGAGATGGTCAGCTTTTATGAGTGATTTTAAAATGCTTACACATTTACATTATTTGTATTTTGATATAGACTTGAAGAAAAATCTCAGTTTTTTTCACTGCTTAAAAATATCTAATTAAGAATAAAAAATATAAAAAAAAAACAAAAAATACAGCCTCACTCATGTTAGACACTGCCTCTGAAAAAGCTTTACATTTTTTTTTTTTTTTGCTTATCATTTGTTGAATAAATCAGTTTCAGGAGAAAATTTTATTTGTTGTAATTTCAAACCCAACTGATTTTTCTTTTCATTTTTTTTTTATTTTTATTTTTTTTTTTTATAGGTTTGCCTCAATTACAGACATAAGACAATCAGACAATACTGACAGTGATGAAGAAGGCCAAGCATTCTACACAGGTGGATCAGAACGAAGGTTGGTTATATGTTTAGAGTGATAGTTTTATTGCGTAGTTTTTAAGGGCTTAGCCTTTGTAAAGTTATGTACATTTGAAATGTTGTTTGCCAATAGCTGGCTCAATAATTATTCACTCAAATAATACTAAGGTATAAACTCATTTTCTTCCAACATTCAATAATATATATAAACCTCTGTAAATTTCTGTAACTTTGCCAAATCTTGCTGCTCATTACAGTTCTTGTAGAATGCCTGCTATCCCAAAAGTAATATTTTGGTGCCAGATTAACCTAGTAGCAAATGCTATGGGTCCTGCATTTTTGAGGATCTCGTGTTAAATACTTTCAAGCTGTCTGGTAAAATTGGCATTTTACAATCTGGCCATGTTAATGTTTACATGTTGGGGTGAGGTGGGAGGAGCTGCATCCCTATCATTTCAGGTAACACTAGATCAAGGCTATTAGATCTTTTCTAATATCTTGTTAGAATAATTTGCTTAATATTTTGTGTGGTTTGTTTATTTTGTTGATAGAAGCTAAACGTTTTATGAGTATTATCACTATGCTAGAAAATAATTTTGTAGTAATGGTAGTATTAGACATTTTGTTATAAGAAAACAATTGACCCTCATTAATGACCTACATGCTTCATCTGCTCAAATCCATTTTAACCACATTGATCTGAGAAAGCGGTTGTATATAGCTGACTATATATATTTGAATGATTTTGGTACCATTCATGACATCCATATGAAAGTCTCAATTTGATGAAGCTATTTAAGAACATGACTCAAGTATTTAGGTTAATGTTTTGGTTTTGTAGCAACTGGCAGTGTTGGGCAAAACTACCTCTATTGCAGCATGTTCTGTGTTCAATTTTCTTATTTCCTATACTAAATTCTTATGGTTTAATATTTGTCTTTTTAAATTTAGGGACTTTTTATAACATAAGCTACAATCTTGTGCACTAGCTTTAATTTAACCCCTGAATATTGTATCTACAAATAAATCTGATCTTCAAAGGAAATCTATTTTTCTGCTAACCTTTATGATTTTATTTTTCTATATAAACTATTACCTTTAGAGATCTAGCTAATGTTAATGGTTAACTACTAAAATTAATGCATTTTTTCAAAATAGAAGTAAAAATATCTGGATGATTTTTATTTAAATCCTTAGAATGAATTAAAAAAAACATTTAATGTAGTTTTCCATTCTGTTTCAAAGGTATATGACATAAGAAAATTATCAAGATTTTACAGCTCTTCAAAAATGTTAACTTTTTGTTGTTGCTTGACTGAAACAATCTTTTGTGTTTATGTGTTGATACTAGTAAATTTACCCAGTATTGCCTGGATGAAAAACCTTAAGGCTATTCTTAAAATTTGATTGATAATTATGTTCTTTTTTTAATTGAAAATTAGAACAGGAATACACTGTAGAGGCAAAACATTATGGATATCTACCTAATAATGTACTGGAAGAGTTTAAAACTGCAATATTAGAGCATGCCCACAAAGCAGCTCTTACCTAATCTGGCATGATTCGACATAACCATTTCAGCATTTCCTCCATGATCTGGTACCATCATGTTAACAGCAAGTGTTACAAGTTATCTAGTGGAGGTTCTTACAAGGTGAACTTGTTGGACTTATCCAAAACTTGCAACTGTAAATCTTGGCTGCCCAATGACTTGTTAGTGGGTACGTTTTTTTTTTTGTTTTTTTTTTCCCTCTCATTTGACGACTACTGATAGATAATCAACACAATGTGATCATCCCCTGCTCCCCAATAAATTGTGCTATTTAATTTTTAAAAAAAGCTCTGATCTAATCTACTGCTAAGAACAGTTTCACCTTTATCAAAGTTACTCAAATTGCCCATAACTGCAACTTCATCCTATTCAAAATAAATTACTTGAGACCAAAGTTTCTGACTCTGAAGTATGTAGTTGCTATGAAATAGTAACTGATATTCTGGCCCCATGTTTTGGTGCATCAGTTTTGAAAATAAATAAAATGATGTACAGTTTTAACTTTGTCCTTTACCTACGATTATTATTTTACTTATTTATTTCTAGATAAATTTCAACAGTTGAGATCCGAAAGTATCTTGGAAAAGATATTGGTTTATTTCCGCGAATTTTTTTTTTATGTATGTCGAATTTTGCAAACTAAATCGGCAGTTAAAAACTGATCGTAGGATCTGTAATTCTTGTCACATGACTAATTGAAGGGAAATAACTCTTATCAAGAGTAGTCTCCAGTGCTCGTACAGATTTCAAAGCGTCTAGAATTTTGTATCTATGTGAATAAGCGGAAATATTTTAACATTTTTTTTCTAGAATCAGTTTTTGGCAGTTTGTGAAGAGTATAATTAATAATTTTATGTATTAATTGCGAAGTCATACATTCTCTTTGGTCAGATATTTTAGAACAAATTCAACCAAATATTTTTTCTTTTATTTTTCATTTGAGTTTCACTTGAAGAAATAAGATTATTTATTTATACTAATTATTATGTCATTTTTTTATTTATATATATATATATATATATATATATTTCATGTATCTTATATCTTTCACTATAATTATCTTTACCTACATTTTTTTGTTTTTAAGTCATTGACATTATCTTATTTTTGTCATCACAATTTCTTTAGAAATTAGAATTACTTGATTTTATATATTTGTAAGAAGACTATGAATAAAGACAAAAGAAAAACTTTTCTTTAAAATGCATTGGCAAAGAAAATGTTCCTTTTTGTCTTTATTCATATAGGTACCTCCAAAGAAATCTGATACCTAAGGTATAAGATGAATTTTTAAAAATGAAAAATCTTTATTTGAAGTTTTTATTTACTTTTAATTTCAAGCTAATAGATTAAATTTATTATTAAGCAAAATAAACACATTTAGTATTAAGCAATAAGCAAAATACTTTGCTGTATTTCAAATTTAAATTGACAGGAAAAAAATTTTTCTTTTTTTAAATTGCTAAAAATTGCTGATTTTTAGTCATCTGTCAGAACAATGTAATTTTCTTTATTAAAATATCTTCAAAAAATAAAATACTTTTCTGAAAATTCATTTGAGGAATATTACCTAATTTAAAGTTCAATTAATCTTATTTGAAACAAATATTACTTACTTTTAGTTTAATATATTGCAGAAATGCATTTTTTTAACCCAGAGATGGGTCTTTTTATTAGGTGTTGACAAATCTTTTGGCTACTTGACAGCTGGTAGTTTAACTAATCAATAAATTGTATTGAGCATTGCCATTTATGATTAGTAAATATAGTTTTTTCTTAATTAATCACCTAACTGGTACAAATTAATATGGAATTGTAAAAGATTTAAAATGTTATAACTTATTCTAATTAAAACTTTTAAAAAATGAAAAAAATCTTGTAAAATTTCATTATTCATTAAAAAAAATTTTTTATTTAAAAAATAGTGTCCATAATATATTTTATTCATAAAAGTAATTAAAAGATTTTCTAATTAAATTATGTCTTAGTTTTATTGTATTTCTTATTTTACAATTCAGAACAGATTTTCAGTAACTGGGGGTCTTGTTTTAGAAAAAGAAATTGATGATTTAAAATCTCCAATGTGTCCTGCTTTTAACTAATATAAACATTAAGTACTACAGAATTTAATTTCTCAATATTTCATAAAATTACAGGTGGGGGTAACATATAAAAACAAAAAAAAATTAAAATTAACTATTTTTTTTAACAAAAAAAAATTTCTAAAATATTTTCATTTATTTGTAAATAAGACCTGAAAGTTTCATAAAAATCTGACAAATATTTGATTTTTTTTTTTTTCATAATTTCAAAATCAGTGAGTTTTGCGTTGAAAAAAAAAGATGCTAAAATTTCCTATACTAATCTTTGCCCCTTGCTGCTGATGCAGATAAAGCAAGATTTTTAACCAAAATTTCAAGCATTTTAAAAAGGATAAAAAATCTAATAATCAAAAAATCCTTTGGTCTTTCCTCTTAGTAATAACAAAGATTTTGACAATAATATTTTGTTTTTATTAAGTTTGGGACATTTTTGGAAAAAAAAAAATTCTTAGAATTGCTATACAGTTTATGTATTGAGCATTTCTTTAAATTTTCTTGAGTAGAACTGTACAATTTTGGATTTTACATGCTGTGTGTGTACACATGCACACACATGATTCTTTTTATTTAATCTTTAATTATGTATCTTATTTATTATTCCATTATTTTTTTGTTTTGCCTTTGTTTGCAGTGGCCAACAAGTATTAGGTCCTCCCAAAAAGAAATCTGGTTCACAGTTTGTTGATGATATTTTTAGACAAGTGAAAGAGTAAGTACATTTGGATTATTCCTAATTATGATTATTTATAAGGCTCATTCTTTCAACTAGAATAAATACATTCTTCTATAAAAAATTTAATGAAATTTTCAAATTAGATTTTCTTTTAATCAGGAATTCTTTCAAGTCCACTAATTTTAGTTGTGTTGTTGTTGTCAAGTGATATTGCTTAATCTCATTCATTTACAGAAATGGGGCGTCCTGGGTAAGACAATAAACTACATCCAAAAGCAAGGCCTGTGATCAGGAGGTTTTGAAGAGCATGGAACCACCTCTTACTTGTTGGTGTTCCCAGGGTGGTAGCACCTGTTAGGGTCCTGACTACAGGCAAATAGTTAACCCCCAAACTGGGGTCAAAACACTATGAAAGTTTAAAAATGGGTTTTAATACCATCAACACATTTTTGTAAAATTATTACCTGTAATGAATTTTTGAAGAAAAAATATTATTACTGTAATGAATTTTTGAAGAAAAAAAATTACCAGCAATACATTTTTTGAAAAAAAAAAATATTAGCAGCAATAAAAATTTTGTTGGCATTAAATAACCTATTGAGGTTGATATGCCGTAACCCAAGCCAGAAATAGTTTTCTGGTTTTCTTGATTTTTATATATATATATATATATATATATACACATATATATCATAAATGTTATTTGCATATGACTGATGTTGTCCTATTTATTTTTTATGGGCAGACCAGTCAATTAATGCAGTTGACAATCTTGTTTCTTGAATGAAACCAAACTGGTGAAAATTAAACTTTCATTGTTCTTTAAAAAGTTTCACTTAATATAATCTGTTTCATTATATCACTACACTTATTAAATGGTATTATTTATTTCTGTTGCATTTTGGAATGTTGTATATTGTATTTTTTCTTCAGTCATTTAGCTAACAGATTAGCCTTACTCTGTAAGTCATTTAACTACAAGATTTGAAATGTTTGATTCATTTACCTACTTAAGGATATTTTGATTACTGACTGTAATAAGGAAAAGAATTTTGTCTGTCTCCTCCTCCTTGACTTTTGTAAGGATAATTTCCAATATCATATTATCTTTTAATAACCAAACTTAAATCTTGCCAGTTTAATATTTACTTTTTATCATCCAGGCTTCCTTCTTTCGTTTTTTTTTTTATTTTTTTTTTTTCTCATCCAAATAAAAACCAATATTGTGTATCATCTTTTTTCATACAGACATGGAGCAGAGGTGGTTGATCCGGATCAACCCCAAGAGAAAAGGTCTGCAGCTTTTAGGGGAACTGGTTACAGGTTAGGAGACATGGAAGGTGCATCAGATGTGATAAAGGGAGAGAATCTTTCTGATGAACCTCAGCCAACCAGGGTAAATCGGCATCCTTTCTTTTGGCAAGTTTTGTGAATGCAGGAAAATTTTTTTTTTTTTTTTTTTATGAAATGCATTTGAATTCCTAGCTTAGAAAATTTAAATCTAGTTTAGTTGAGATATAGTTGTGTATTTTTCATTGATAGGTGATATCAGGAGAACTCTTTAATTTGTCTTCAATCAGAAAATGTAATAAAGAATGAAGTCTTTTTTTCAAAATAGGAATAAATCCTTTATAATAGAAATAACTTTTAAGGTTCTGATATTATAAATTGTATTTTGGTAAATTGTAAATTCTTCAGTATTGTACAGTACCTTAGTTCACTGGTGAAGTTAAAATGCAATATTTTTATTTATTCTGGTATAAAAAAAACATCAGAATGGAAGAAAAATATTTTTGATTTAGTAGTTTCAGATTTTCCAGCATACTAGCTAATCTCCTCGTAGATAAAGAAGAGACTGGAAGCAACAGAAATGTAGCTCTACAGACGGATGCTGAGAATACCATCGACCGATCATGTGAGCAACAGGAAAGTTCTAGAGAAAATAGAAACTAAAAAAAGGACACATACTTAACATCAGAAATAGTTGAAATTTTTAGGGCACATAATGAGGAAAGAGAGCTTGGAAAATTTGATACTCACAGGACAGATTGAAGGCAAAGAGGGACAGAGGAAAAACACATAACCTACCTAGTGAGCTTGAGCAAATGAATGTTGGAACACTGTTTAGGAGAGATAACAAAAAGACAATTTATTAAGACCTACAAAGAACAGGATCTTATGGAGAGCCATAATCGCCAACATCCTGAAGTGACACAGTACATAGAAAAAGTAGTAGTTTAAGATTCAAAAATGCTTTTGGTTAAAAAAAAAAAAAAATTACATAAATTTATTGATTTTTTTTTAGCTTGTGATGATTTTATGATCTTTTTGTTTTCAAGGTTTTGAAAATGTGGAAGAATGGTTTCAGCATCGATGATGGTCCCTTAAGAGAATATACTGATGAGAAAAACAAAAAATTCTTAGATTCCATTACAAGAGGGTAAGTCTATTTGAATTATTATTATTATTTTTTTTTTTCTTCAACTTTTGATGGTTACATCTACATTCTTGTTTAGTGAGGATGGTAGCATTTGTTAGGGTCTCGACTATGTGTAAATTGTGACAACCTCCTCCCACCTGAAAGAAAAATCAACAGTACATTTTTATAATAAAATGAGCAACAATCAATTTTTATAGTAAAGTAACAATCAATGAATGCTAGTAAAATTAGCAACAATACATTTTATAATCTACAAAATATATAGCTAAAAAAACAAAACAAAAAAAAAAACATAACTTTATCCTGAAACTATAAAATTCTGTATTAAATATCTGTAGTTGAAAGCATAAAATTACATACAAAATCTGTAGATTTTGGCATTAAATAACCCATAGAGGTTGATATGCTGCTAAAAATCAACCAACAAACTTGCTTGGTGGAAATTGAGCTGCTCTTGATTTAATTCCTTCTTTAAGTGATAAAGAAGGAAAAATCCTGACAATTCTTTTCTTTTTTTTTTTTCTCTTTGAGATTATTGAAAAGTTAAAAGATATTGAATAATATTCTCAGTGTAATATTAAAGAAAACTTCCTTCTATATTTATGCTGGCTTATAAGTTTAATATCTGGGTTTTATTTTTAGAAAGTATTTTTGTGAAGAGGCTTTTCTTGCTAAAACATTTTAAGAAATTATTTATTCATTTTTTTTTTTTTTCACTAGGGAAATTCCACAAGAGTTAGTTCAGGAAGCTGAAGGTGGCAAAATAAATCTAAACATGGAAAGACATCAAGACATGGATTATGTTCCCCCGAAAAGGAAGATGACAGCTTTCATGGGACAAGGACACATGCTTGGCAGGTAAGTTTAATATTGTTCAATCCAAAGCAGTATTTATATTATTTTGCAGGTGAGCATATATTGGCTTCATTCTTTTGCTTTTAACTTTTTGTTTACAATGTTGTTATATTTCATACTGTTTAGATTTTACCATCTCAAAGATTTCTCTATTAGTGCTAATGCTTAAAGAATGCTTGTCTTAATTAATCTGGTTGTTTTTTTGATGTCATTGTTCATTTCTTAAACTATTATTTTCATGTATGCAGTCCTTCCCCTGCCATGAGCAGTTTTCCCAGCAGTTCAACTGCTGCTGCTGCTGCAGGGTCTAGCACTGATCCTGTTGTCAAAGCAGACCTTAAAGTGGACTCTTCAAAACCAACAACAAACATACAAATCCGACTGGTGGATGGTGCCAGGTAAGGAACTACATTTTTTTTCCTACTCATATTCTTTTGTTTTTCTTTTTATCTTTTGCATTGATTTGTTTTTATTATTTTTTTTTTTTTTTTTTTTTTAATTTTTTTTTAATTTTTTTTAATTTAAAAAATTTTTTTTTTTTTTTAATCTTTTTTTAATCTTTTTAAACTGATTATTGTATACTAAGTTTCTGTGCATTAATCCATTGTATCTTAAGGATTGTTAAGTTATTATAAAATTCTTGTAAGGAGACTTGGTTCCCTGGAATTATGTAAGTAACATTTTTGGTAAAATATAACAGGTATCATTAATGTATACTTATCAAAGCTGACACACTTGGGCTGAGAGTGGTAATGGAATATCATCTCTTTTGGGAAGATGAATATGTTTGTAGGATGATTCTTTGGAATGCACTTTCATGTATTATTTATACAGTTTAGTCATGCTCATCTGAGATTTTGTTGAAATAAAATTCTTTTTTTGATGATGCCAATTCATTGGTGAAGCATATCAAAATAGAAATTATCCAGATTGTCTTCTATATTTACTCTTCAATATCTGTACTGTACTGCCCACAATTTTTAAATCGGATAAATTAGATTAAAACTTTATGAAAGAAACATGACCAGCAGAACTTTTATCTTAAATCTGTAAAAAAAAAATTAAATTAAATTATATCTATAAGCTCATATTTATTTTTGATAGATTAAATAATTGCTATTATTTTGAAATGTGAGATCTATTTGCATCAATTCAGTGGGCAATATATTCAAAGAATATGTTTCTATTTTTCATACTAGTCATTTGAATTGGCTTTTCTTTCTTTACATTTTTATTATGCTTCAGCTTGTCACTTACAAGATGCATATGATCCTGTTATCTCTGCCACTGACTATTAGACTATAATTAGTTGAATATTCTCTTTTTGGTTACTAGTGACATGATGGTTCACTCAGCCAAAAGCTTAGTCACTAAACATTGCTTGGGTTGCTGAAAGTGGACATATTCTTTTTACCAGTGGATTTTATCTGGAGCACAAGAAGAAATCACATCATGTATTATGATTAAATGATGAAGTTTATTAGCACTAGTCAAAATGTCCTTTTAGTAGGATTTTAATTGAGTTATGATCCTGAAAAAAAAAAAGTGGGAGGGTTCTTAAAATTTCTTCTAAAGCCCAACAAAAATTAGCATCAGATTTTCAGCAACAGTTTTATTTACAGCTTCTCCATTTGGGATTTTAAGTTCACTAACAATGTTAGTCTCACAATTTTGATGGCTCTCAATATGTTGATTGTTTGAAAATTACTTATTGACAGTCAAGAGTTTTGTTTGTAAATTACCCTGGCCAAAATTTTTAAAAGGAAGTAAGAATTTTTTTTAGGTAAGCCTGATTCTGGTCCTCAAATAATGTCTAGTTGCAAAGGAAGTCTATAAGTCCTGTCAACCCAATTAGGCAAAATTAATTAGTCCCACCTTTAATTCATTTCTAATTCAGAAAGAATAATTTTTCCTTTGATCCTCTCTTGGCTTCATATCCCCAAAATAAGACTGTATCACTTAATCAACTGGCTGCCTCTAGCCTCCTTGGGTGGATTTACATGCCTCAGCAGTTGGAGGGTCACCCTTACCTGTTACATAAGAATTTAATTCATATATTTGTTGCCTGATGAAAAATGCTTTTACTAGAGATGGGTAGTTTAACCAAAAAACTAACTTTTTTTGGTTCAATCTTCACGCCGTGAAACTGCATTGAAATTTTTATGAAACCAAAATCGTTCAGTTTAGTGCTATCACTACTGAGTGACCATATCCAAAGAAACACTATTGAAAAAGACTTTGAGATGTTAATAAAAATAAATTTTATCAACATTTATACCATTGTAAGAGAAAAAGATTGAACAAAAATCTGTTAAAAACTTGGCTAGTTTTAGGAAATAAATGTGAAATCTATTTGTCTACAAAAGAAAAAGGGGAAAAACATGATGTCTGAAATCTATTTGTTTCAGTTTTCAAAAAAAAAAAAACTTTTTGTGGTAAAATTAACAACAAAATAGTGTGTAAAAATAAAAAATAGTTGCTAGTTTCGTCTTAAAATCTTATGAAGTTGGTTTTTTTTTTTTGTTTTTGTAATGGTTTTCTAGTAAGAAGCCAGCACACCAATCACAAAATAAAGTTGTTGTAAACAAGAAAAATGAAGATTTTTTTTTTTTTTTAAATAAATTTGTTTTTTACCTAAATAGGATATTAAGAATAATTAAAATAGTTCTTAATTTCACTTTTAAAATGTGTATATTTCCAGATGTGAGTTTCTAGTCTAAATTTTAGACCCAAAAATTGTTTGTTTTCTACAAATAAAATTGTTCCTATCTAGCAAATACCTGTAAAATTAGATATTAAAAAAATAAAGTAAATTTTAATCTGTTTTAAAATGTGTATATTTTCAAAACTGCAAGTAATTTTTTTTTTTTTTTTTTTTTAAACCAAAAGTAAAAATTGTTCTTTTTTAGCCACTAGTCAGTGTCAGACAGTAGTTTTAAATAATTTGAAAGTTATTTTACCACACATTTATTACTATCAGTTGTTTTTTTTTTTTTTTTTTTTTTTTTTTGCTTTTTTTTTTTTTTTTTTTTTTGCTTTATAATTTTGAATTTTGAATTTTGCTTCCTTGGGTGAGAGAAGAAATGAACATCTTTGTGGTTGTAGTTTAAGTTGTCTTCTAATTGAGTGGACAATTTCAAGAATATATATAAAGATTGGTCACTTTGATTTTACAAAACTAAGTAATGTAAAATTTAGTCTAAAAAACATTTTGTGTTATTCGGCTGGTTGAAGCAAAATACCATCTGTAAAAAATATAATTCAATGAGAAAACACAAATTATATATTTAGAAAGATAATTTTATTTTCTTTCCAGCCATATGAATATTTTTAAGATTGGACCATAAATACACAAGATATTGCAATTTGAACGGACTAAGTTGCAAATTCATCAATCTCAAACAAAATCAGATATTGACTGGAAATGCTATCATTACACAAGAAAATAAATGACTTCCATAGAAAGCAAAAATACTAAATTAAAACTGAAAAACCAAATTGAAAACTGTGGTATCAAGGAAAAAAAAACAGAAAAAGGAAACTGATACTGATACATTAATTGCCAAACTGACCAACTCTAGCTTTTATAATTGTTGCTCTGTTTTTTTAATTTTTATTTTTTTTTCCAAATTTTATTTTATGTTGTTTCTGATGTATGAAACAAAAACCTGAAGAATAATACCATTCATTTGAATTTTTCTTCATAGAGCCCCATGTTGTGTCTTTTCATTCTTTGCTTTTTTCCAGGATTAAAATATTGCATTTCTTTTACATTTTTGGTTTTAATACAGATTAACTTCAAAGTTTCTCATAAAGAAATTCATTTTTGAAAGTAGAAATTTCTAAAGTTATAAAATTGTTTCTATTGTGCTTATTTTTACATTTTTTTTTAACAGATTGAAACTGACATTGAATCATTCACACAGAATAAGTGACATCAGGAATTACATTGTTTCGTATCCTTTTTCATTTCTTTCTTTTTTTTATTAAGTTAGACACTTGGGTTTAGAAGAGTATGAAAAAAATATCGAACCTCTTTTAAAATTTTATTTTCATTGCATTTTGATACGAGTGTCTGACTTGGTTATGTTTCAATGCAGGCACCTCTCATACTTCTGGTCTGTTGCACCTAAAAACAGAAAAAAATACATGCAAAAATAACATTGATCTAAATGCAAGGCAATAAATAATTCCTTTTAAAAATTATGTTGTCATATTATTTCAACAAATGTCAGTCATTACATTACTTTATATCTGTGGATTAAGTTTGTTTTACAATCCTGCCTCTGTCAATTGTAGGATATCAGTAGAGCAGTAATTTTATAATCAGTAACAATAACAATCTAGAACTGATGAGTAAGATTTTATTTTAATATTAATTAATTTTCAACATAATTTTTTGATGATAAGGTTTATACTTTCAAGATTATTTGTTGTTTAGATAATAAAAACAATTAGAAAAGAAAAAAAATCTAATAAAATTAGCTTAGAAAATAAATATTGAATAAATCTCATGAAAAAGTGTTTTTGTCTTAATAACTATTGGGCTTTCATATGCTTTTAGCCAACATTTGTGCACTTGTGCTTCCGTTTTTTTTCCTTGATTGTTATCTTTACAGAGAACGTCCTGAATATGCCTGTGAGCCATTTTTCTTGTCCACATACACCAGCAAAGAGTTGGAGGATGAAAATCAGACATTGGTAGAGAGCAACCTGTTAAATGCTGTTGTAATGCAACGAAGAAAATAATTTTTAGCTGTTAACTGCAAATAAAATGAGTGGGGATAATGAATCCCTGTTCCTTGGACAGTGAAAGCTCTTTTCTGGTTATTTTAAAAATATTGAAAAAAAAAAAAAAAATTGGAGATCTGAAACTTAAAAATGAATTCCCTGCTGGAGTGAAGCTGCTTGGTCTCTGAATTGTGTATATTGAGGGGGGGTATGACTGCTGTATTCTCCACCAAGGATGCCAGACTTTATGTTGCTTCTTTTTCTATTGAATCTCCTTCCAAGGCAGTGGGCTTTGATAACCAGTTAGTCAGTCAGTTCGACATGTCATCAGTGGACAGACTAAAAGTTGTTATTGTATCAGTTTTAAGAAATAAGAAAATCAGATTTAAAAAAAAATATTAAAAAAATAAAAGCAAACAAAAATTCTTCAAAAACAAAAAACAAAACAAAACATAAGAATATATCACTGTGTTTAGTTTTTCTTTTATTTTTCCCAAATATTTTTGTGTACATGAAAGTTTTCATAGTTGACTGATAATTAACAGCTTTGGGATAAGGGACTGACATTTAATAATGTTTCTGCTATGTTGGTTCTGTTCAAAGCATAAATTAAAAAAAAAAATCATTTAATCTTGGCTACAAAATCAGTTACTGTATTTATACACAATTTAGTATTTCTTAATATACAAAAGAATTTAGATTCACCAGATTTTGTGAAATTTAAATTGCAAAATGTTTGCTATTTGCTCTTCATAATGATTTACCCCCATTGGTCATTTCTCCCAATTCTGGCTGATTCTTTTAAGTCTACTTTGTCAAACTTTTCAGATTGTTTTGCAGTATTCTTTGCTAATATTTTGAATCAATTGTGAAAATGGACAAAACATGACATTTTAAGGGAACTAAATTTTGAAAATAATTTAACTCAACATCTGCATAAACTTAAAATACTGTCAATGTCATGTGTATTTTCTCTATTGTTTTCAAAGTGTACAAAAGAGCTTTTTTTCTGCATTTTTTTTTATGAGCCTTTTTACTATAGGTTGTTAATATTTATTATGCATGATAAAATTGCAGTATGAAAATATTAAAGAAATATTGCTAATATAAGAAAGAAGGTAAAACTGAATACTAAAATAAATTCCAAATCATTTGCCTTCAAGTAACAGCTTTTAAAGCAAATTGATTATGTAACTAAATGCTTAATGTATAACAGCAGCAATGTACTTTTATTGAAGAATGTGACTTTTAAATAATAGATAACAATCAAAATCTGTTAAGAAATTCTTACCAATATTAAGATTAGATATTCTTCATGGGATTTCTTGTATTTTTCAAAATCTATTGAAATAATAGATAATTTGATCTTGTCTAATGTTATATACAAAAGTTGATTTATTGCTAACACCAAAGGTATTTATTTTTTAAGTGCTTACATAAAACCATATTGAATGAAATCATAAAAGAATAAGATGATACAAATCAGAATTTCATTGTTTCTACAAGAAAGTTAATGTCAAATTTCTATTTTCAGTAAAACAAAAAAAAATATGAGTAAAAAAATTCAATTATAATATTCTGCATTTACATTTGGTATCTACTGCAAGTAATATGTACAATAATTATTAAGAAATACAGATTTTTTTTTTTTTCCATAAAAAATTTATTTGCTTTCTGGCTTATTGGAATTCCACTGTTTGAATCTTTAAGAATTCTGATTTACTATCTGACTCTTTAGTCTATTAGCCTACTATCTCTTTCTGGCAAACTACTAGAGGCCCTAATCAATTCAGAATTGGTTAAGCATCTAACATTGCAGGTCCTTCTTTCAGACAAGCAATATGGTTTTGCTTCTCCAGGTCAACTGCTGATGTACTAATGATTATTGATGATAGTCTTATCAAGTGTTAGATAAGAATGGCAGAGCTCAGGCTGTTGCTTTGGACTCAAAAGCATTTGACAGTTTGACATACTCGTTTTCTTTACAAGTTAAAAGGTTATGGCATTTCTGGACAAATTTTTGAACTGATTCAGCCTTATGAAATGAAAAGTTGTCCTGAACGGCCACTCTTCTAGATCTTTTTGTACTAATGCAAGTATTCCCCAAGGGATCTATCCTTGGACCTACTTTGTTCATGATTTTCATTAACAACCTTCCTGATCATATCAGCTCTCAACTTGGCAACTATGCTGATGACGCAACCATTTTCTCCTGTCTTGATAGTAAGTCTGATCAGTTTGATGAGATCAGATTGGCAGCTGATCTAAAAAAAAAAAATGAACTACAGTCTGTAATCACCTGAGAGGCCCCTTTCTGCTAACCTCCAAGAAAATGAATGGCGAGCCTTCTCAGGCTAACATTCTCAATTGACATGATGTAGAAAGATTATATTGAATCTCTTGCTAGGTCTGCTGCTAAGAAAGTTGGTATGGTGTGGTGTGCTAGACAATTTTTAAACTCCATAAACTAACATATTTGTAAGTCTACCATTTGTCCAGGCTTTGAATATTGCTGCCATATATGGTTTGGTACTCCTGCTGTACATTTTGAGATTCTTGATAAAATCCAAATAATCAGCAATTTTACTGGTCTTAACCTGGCATCTCTGCTTCAGTCACTTTTCCGCCACCATAGTGCTACTTCCTTGTGCTTTTTCTATAAATACTTTCATGGTAATTGTTCAGATGAACTCTGCACTAGGTACCTAGACTTTATAAGTTTAAATTCAGTACTAGATTGTTGGCAAGGTCTCATCAATTCACAGTTGAACTGGTGAAATGTTAAGTTGTTAATAGTTTAAAAAATTAAATGCAGTGTCAATCGTTATCTACCATCTTGATTGCTCTTCTATTGTTCTCATTCCTTCATTATGTTTCTCTTTCTCTTTCACACTAAATAGACTCGAGTCATAATGGATTTACTGCTTTACATGGGGAGACATGATTTAAGAAAAAGTACTCTCCCCACCTATATATTTTTTGAAAAATGTATTCGTGATGAAAATTAAATGATAGCATTGTAGTTGCGAATGGATTCCTTTTGTCACTTGGCAACCAATATTTTTAAACCCAGTCCAACACTGATGCTAGCTGTTTACCATTTAAAGAGAGTGTTGATAGAAAGCAACTATTAAACACGCAAAATAACCGATTAAACTTTCAAGGGGGGGAAATTCAAGATTAAATAAGAGAGTAGCTTCCCTTGAGATTTTAACTCTGGCCTCGAATTTGTTTTATTAAGGCAACTCTCGTCAACTGTAGTATAAGTGTTGATGATGACAGCGATAAGAAGGAAGATCTCATCTATCTGAGAAACGATCGTGGAGTTGACTGAGGTTCGCCTGGAGCAATTCTGGACTTCTCAGTTGGAAACGTATCCTGTATTGGCAAAAGAAGTTCTCGCTGTGCTGGTGCCTTTTGCGACTAAATTTTTGTGTGAAACTGGATTTTCTTGTTCGTCTCGCATCAAAACCAAGAGCAGAAATCAGCTGGATCCTCAACACGACATGCGAGTAGTACACAGCATCAAGACCCCAAGATTTGATGTCACCGTGAACAGAAAACAATAAAAACAACAAAATCCCTGAGTTTGTTGCTCAACCAGAATCATTCAAAACACATCATGCATGAAACAAGCACATGTTACCGTCATTTTATTTTTTTTTTTGCTAATATGAAAGTAATCTGTTTTTGTAAAGCATTATTTTGTGGTCAGTTATGGGGATACAGATTGAAGAAATACGGCCGTTTTGCTATTTGCAGATGAGATCAATATTATTTTTCATCAATTCTGTAAGCGGATGCGAGAACTGGTTGATGGTTTGAAAGGGGTTGAGAACAAGGAAAAAGGTTAAGAATCACTGATCTACAGGAAGAGCCAAATATAAGCCAACGCATTAATGAAGCTATGAATGGAAATCAACCTAAATTTTACATGCAAAATTGTAACATTCTTCTTCAGGCGTATCTAGAGCATTAACACATCTACTAGCCGCCAACCACAGCGACTCAGATTACCACTTGAAGGTGGAACGACAGGTTCTATGCATACTGCACTGTGGTGTCAATGTAGAAGCATGCCAAGTTCAGGTTGGCTGTAATGGTCAATGGTCTTTTGAACATGGAGGGCACTGTCATGCAACCCTTATTTCTCCCGAAGTACTTCAAGGTCAATGTCACCGCGTAGATCGTGATGGTAATCATGATGGTCTATTTCCTTTGATGTCTCTGTGTGTTTCATCAAGACGTTCACGTGACACACAAGTGGCTGGCTAAATTTTTAACATCATGTCGCACTCACCAAACATGTGATGACCTAACTTTCCGATGGACTATTATGCCTGGGGTGTCGTTGAGAATGAAAACACCTAGCGACTCCATAATATCAAGGATTTATTGAAGGCGGCTATTGTTGACGCGATAGCCAATGTAAACAAGAACCAGTTAGTCCGCGCTTACAGGTCGCTTCTAAGGCCATTGTTGAGGCTGAGGTTGGGTATATTGAATAACATTACTGTTTTTCAAAGTTATACACGTGTACAAATCTTTTGTACAATAATACTGATATTCTTTTTCTGCTCAATATATTTTTCTTTATATTATAATTTGTTTTCAATTATCAGGCGTAACCTGCTTATATCGTAACTTTGTGGAAGTTTGTTCGTGATAGAAAGCAAGTTATTGAATCAAAAGTATCGAACAACATATCAGAAAGATTGTCATTTCAGTAGGTTTGATAGCTGGTAATTTGAATGATCTAAAAATAGAATGCAAATTAAGAGATATTTTAATTGGAAACTCATCATCATCGACGTTCTCATCAGTCCCGTGATAGGGTGTGGTCGTATGCTTGCTGTGTTGCTGAGTCCATGACCAGCTCCGTCCATATGCTTTGGTTGCGGGCCAACCTCTGACTCTCTGTCAATGATTTTGCAGTAACAATCCCAAGCTTTGAGTGATCCGGTATGAAAGTTGGAGAGGTATTCGTTCATGCGTAGTATATCTTGGGAAAGTAGATCTGGTGCATCCCATCCCTCTCCAGGTTAATTAATTTCAACGAATTGACTATGAGAAAGCAACTTCACTGCTTCTATCATATATGGAGAATATTCATATAAAAACTTTATTTTATTTTATTTTTTTTAAAGCATTACGCCCCGAGCAAGGCGTGAAGCCACTAGGATGCAGGGGGTTGCGGAAGATTTGGAGCGAGAGCGGATAGGAGTGATAGAAGAAAGGATGAGGAGAAGGATAGTAGGTAGATCAAGGTAACTGGAGGTGTCGATTGACATTAAATTTGAATAGTTGGAGATTATATCTCTCAGGGAAACAGTAATTGGGAAGGGTGTTCCACAGGCGAGAGGTATGAAGCTATTGGAGTAGAAGAGACAACTACATTTAAAAATTTCTATAGTGTAAGGGTGGGAGCGCGATGCCATCCTCGTAGGGCGCTTGAATTCATGGAGTCTGGGAACCAGTGAAAGCAGCTCATCGGTGCAATTACCATGAAAGTATTTGTAGAAAAGACAGAGAGAGGCGACGTCGCGTCTGTGAGAGAGTGACTGCAGACAAGACGCCAGATCAGGGCCAATTAGATTACATATCCGTCTCTAGATCTTATAAGATGTATTTTAACTTGTAATCAAAGCAGCATTTATATGCACTCTCTTAGCCTTAGATGTAGTGGTCCTATCAGACAATAAAACTCGTAGGGCATATAAAAACATTCAAAGCTAAAGACTAAGATTTTATTGGACAAATTACCGCTTGTGAGAAAAGCAAGAAATGACGATTAAAACTTGCAGCTACCGTATATACTCGAGTATAGGGCGATTTTTTTATAAGTTTTTACGAAAAATATAGTAATTATTTTTTGAATAGGTTAAAAATCATGCATTTTCGGTGACCGGTTGCACTATCCACAGGTAAAGTTTTTGAAAAAAACGGATTTTTCACAAAAATGTCAGGGGTAATACTATACATGAACTCGACTTATACACCACTATATACGGTACTATAATTTTATCCATCAGGAGATAGATAGGCAGACTGATATTAGTGTTTTTATAATTATAATAGATGTTTTTAAAGAGAGATTTTATTTGTTAACAGGTACATTATCAGAAATCTGATTTCTAAACTATCCAGAAATTTGACATGTTTAAATCACCGGAATTTTTTAGATATGTTAGCGGCTAATTATTCCAAGATGTAGTCTGAGAATTTTTGGTATAGCTTTGGCTTGCCTATTGGAAGCACGTCTAATTTTAAATATGATGTTGAATGGGAATGTCTGTCTTGTGTGTCTTTGGTAGATCATTAATCTGGGTATTTTAAGGTGGTTTCCAATAAATTTTGACCAAATTTCTAATAACTGAATTTTTATGTTTCGAAAATGATTATCGATTTTCTCATAAACATTTCTATCATGGCACAACCATCTTTTTTTTTTTTGGACCAGGTTCTTTAGCATTTTTTGTATGTTTGTGGTAGAGTTGTTTCGTTGTCTGTTCCTAAGGTTGCAGCGATCAATCCTTGAGTAAAACCTTTATAAAAACCAGTATCATTATGTTTGTGGTTCTTAATGATTGTGCCAATTAATTCCACCCCCCCACTTTTTTTTAAAGTAGTTTTTGCAACACGTTGACGCATGTTGAAATCCTGCCAGTATTTAATATTTATAAATGTTATCGCTAACATTTTCTTTTGTCGAGATTTACAAACTCTACGTTTCGTTCCATTTCGCAAACCAATCGATGAAATTTGAATAAGCTGATTTGCTTTGAAAAATACTTTGACAAAAACCCTTCTTCACGATTTTTGCGCATCCTAGTAAAACCAACTATATTTTGTAGCCCGTTATCTGTTTTCACTTCGCCCCAAAATTCGGTCAATGTATAGCTATTTTAGAGGCTGTGACGGACGGACTAACGGAAGTCACAGAATTTTATATATAGAATAGGTAGCAAATTTTCCCCTGATTTTTAGATAAACTTGTAAAGATTACAAACCAATGTTATTTCACTTTCGATAATGTAGTGATCTGTAAATGACTATCTAATTAGCATAGCTAAGGCATAGACTATATAAATGCCCAGTAAAGCAGTAAGGGTAGAGTAGCTCTCGGTATGCGATATACAAGACTACTGCTGGGCTGATAAAATGCAAAGAAAAACACATTTCATAAGAGATAATAAATTTTATAGGTTTGCAGCTATACAAATTTCAGCTTCTATTTGAGATTATTCATGATTTTTCGAACCAGCATCCTCATCTTGATTGTTAGTACAAACAAAGCTGAGAAGGCTAACCCTAAAAATCTTTGGATGATAGCAATGCCTTCATTTTGAAATATAAACAGAGATTTTTAATGGGTTTAGATGTTCAGATAATTTATGGCAAATATAAATAATTTTTCAAAGACTCTGTCGTTTTTATTTGTAATTACAAGGCCCGTTCATGCTATGATTGTACCATTGAATAGAAATGCGAGCGTAGCTAGTACGCATTGGTGCCTAAAGTTGTGAGTCTACCAATAAACTGCATGGTATCTAATTGTGTGCAATTATTACGCGAGGTTTTGTAACGTTGTGTCGGAACGGCTCTACGGCCATTTCGACATCTGACAAATTTGTTTCTTAAGCCTACCAGGAGATCATAGTCTAGAAAATTTCCGATAGCATTTCTTGGGAGTCCGTATACTAGAGACGTACAGAAAGATTATTTCTACTGTTGCTCTGAAGAATTCACCTGATAGACTTCATTTTCATTCTTTTCAAGTGCTGTCCAAATGTAAAAGAATATCAGCAAGCTGCCACCGGAGCATAGAGGTCATGATCTGTGCTTGATGGAATATTTCCGATTTATGTTTAAGCGAGGCTGCTTTGACGAAACTTATATGACGAGCTTGCCACTTAAGTATTTACTATATGAGATATTAGTTGCCACTTATGACTTTGCTACATGAGCTACCACTTATGTCTTTGCTATATGAGCTGCCACTTATGTCGTTGCTGCATGAGTTGCTACTTAAATCATATCGCTTGACCGGGATTAATAAAATTGTGGGTGAAGGTAATTGTTTTTTTTTTCGAGAAAACAAAAGTTGACACAGCAAGAGAAGGTTGCTTCCGACATATAAACATCAATAAATAGTTGGCGTATATTGGCCTTAATCGTCTGAGTTGGAGCATGTCCGACGCATGTTCAAACAAGTTTGTCTCGATGGACTTTATATGGTGAGCTAGCCATTGGCGTCTGCCCCCGAGCTTGCCGGCGCAAAAATCAATACAGGAGGATGCTAAATGTTGTTGGAGCTAGATCACCAAACCTGGGAAACGGAAGCCATGGATCGCAAGCAAGGCGCAACACTATCCGGGACGCCACAGCCAGCTTCAAAATGCAAAGATTTAACTGAATTCAAGAAAAGAAAAAAGAGCGAATACAGAGCCAGAGATGTCTCATCATCCGGGCTACAATTTCCTGTCGTCATTGTCTCTTCTGATTGCAAGCAAGAGTCGGCCTTACAAGGAAACTTTGAACTCAATGACCGTGCCAAAATGCGAAAATAGGTGATATTCTCCATAGTCTTATAAGACGACAAAAGATATCAATAAACTCTCAGTGTGGGCAACAAACGCTGAGAAGGCTAAACCTTAAAAATCTTTGGATGATAGCAATGCCTTCACTTTGAAATATAAACAGAGATTTTTAATTTTTTTTTTATAAATTATCTGAAGATCTAAACCCAGATGTTCAGATAATTTATGGAAAATATAAATTATTTTTCAAATGAAAATTGAAGAATGAAAATTGTCACTAATTCACTCTTCTCTACTCGTGTGGCATGCCAGCGACAAGACTATGATCAAGATGACTGGTGATAGGACAGAACATAGTGAGAGTTGGATCTATGTCTCTCTCTCCAAGAACATTTGTGTGAAAATTATATCAGCAGTTTCATCAAAAATTAAAACACCATTCACCAATTCTGTTTTTCGACTTGACGCTATTTTGAACTCTCTGCTTTGATTGATTGATTGATTTTTTTTACGGTCTATCAACCGTTTGCATGTTATTTAAAGCTTGAAAATATTTTTAGATTGTAAGAATTTTGGGGATATAATAATGATTTAGTGATACAAGTCCAACTATTTAACCCATACTTGCAGGAGAAGAGGTGGATACATGGATACAGGTTTTTGCGAATAAGTGAATATATCGAACTTGACCGGAATTGGAAGTCGGCTCATCCATTACCCCACATGTTGCTTAACTTCAGTGATTGTACAAGAACCAATGTTTCAACGGGATATGATCATAATACCTTTCTGCTATGAATATAATCATAAAATATAAAAACGAAAGGATAAAAAAGAATAGTTAAAGTTGGTAATACATTTCTATAGCAGCATTTCTTGAAAGTTGGAAATATCCAGTAGACATCATCGTTCACAGTTATTTAAATCTTACTAGCTTTGTCCTAGTATCTGTGTTACCTACTCAATGCCTCGTGACGCCTAAGGCCTATAGGTAAGGTTTTGGTAATCAAATTCTTTCGTGGGGCGGGGTGATTGTCTCCACGCCAAAGCTATGTGCTCTGAGGAAGAGTTGGTCTTCTCTTGGGGCTTTCTTTTCCGTAGACGACAACGTGTTGCTACACTAACGAGATCCGTCGACACAGGTTTTGAAATTTAGAGTTTTTTTCCTTCTACTATAATGATTCCCAACCAAGGCTGATGAGCTTAGTCTGTTTTAATTGTAGTTTGTGAAATTTGTTCGTACATAGTTGCTACATAGTATGGTGGGGTATTGTCACAACATTAGTGCCATGGGGTTTTTAAACACCCCTTTGAAAATATTACAGATTTACCGTTTAGTACTTTTTGGATTTTATAGGATTAAAAAAAAACAAAAATAAAAACAAAAACAAAGAGTTTCATTTTGAAGAATCGATTTAAAAAGCAAATATTAAAAAATAAACTTGTAAGCTTCAAAATTCCAAAATACAAAAATATGTGTCTATATTTCTGAGATGAGGTATTATGTACACTATTTACATTATTCGGACTATTGTCCTCATCTTTTCGGCCGGCTTTCTTCAGGTGGTTGGAATGTCGAACTGAACCCTTTATTTCGCTCAGTGGGGTAGACTGTTCTAGTTCCACGTGCCATGTCTAATGGATGTCATTTATCAGTTATCTCCTGTTAATTCACCTCTCCAAGTTCTCCACTGCCTTAACCAGAATAAAAAATATGTTTCAGTTTATTTTTATTAAACAAATACAACTATTTTAAATTTGCACTAGTATTTGGAGCTGCTAGTTAAACTTGACATATTTGGGAAGGATATTAGAATAATATAATCTTGAAGCTGTTCTAGAAGCAAACTGCCTGCACACGGAATTGTTTTGTAAATATACAAAAACAGAAAGAGGTGCAACACAAGGATGTATCTTCTCACCGGACTTATTCAACCTATACAGTGAGGGAATTTTGAGAGAATTAGGAGTCCTATCAAAATTAACTATTGGCGGTCACAATCTTAACAACATAAGATATGCAGATAACAGAGTTGATAGCAGATATAGAAAAGAAACTAAAAAAAACAAAAAAAACCTCTTATAGAAGGTAGTGAAGGAAAGCGATAAGAAAGGGCTAAATATCAATTGCAAGAAGACGGAATGCATGGTTGTCGGCAAAAGGGACAGCCCAACAAGCAAATTACAAATTGGTGAGTGTGGATGCAGACCCCATACTGTTAGTAAACTTTTAATTTCTTTACCTTTTTCAATACGGAAGGTAGTGACGGAAAACGAGAAGAAAGGACTAAATATCAATTGCAAGAAGACGGAATGCATGGTTGTCGGCAAAAGGACAGCCTAACAAGCAAATTACAAATTGGTGAGGAAGGTGTGGGATGCAGACCCCATACTGTTAGTAAAGACCCCCATTTTAATTTTTTTCTTTACCTTTTTCAATACGGAAGGTAGTGACGGAAAACGAGAAGAAAGGACTAAATATCAATTGCAAGAAGACGGAATGCATGGTTGTCGGCAAAAGGACAGCCCAACAAGCAAATTACAAATTGGTGAGTGTGGATGCAGACCCCATACTGTTAGTAAACTTTTAATTTCTTTACCTTTTTCAATACGGAAGGTAGTGACGGAAAACGAGAAGAAAGGGACTAAATATCAATTGCAAGAAGACAGAATGCATGGTTGTCGGCAAAAGGGACAGCCCAACAAGCAAATTACAAATTGGTGAGTGTGGATGCAGACCCCATACTGTTAGTAAACTTTTAATTTCTTTACCTTTTTCAATACGGAAGGTAGTGACGGAAAACGAGAAGAAAGGACTCAATATCAATTGTCAAAAAGAAGACGGAATGCATGGTTGTTAATAAACAAAAGGGGACAGCCCAACAAGCAAATTACAAATTGGTGATGTGTGGATGCAGACCCCAACAAGCAAATTACAAATTGTTGAGTAAACCCCATTTTAATTTCTTTACCTTTTTTCAATACGGAAGGTAGTGACGGAAAACGAGAAGAAAGGACTAAATATCAATTGCAAGAAGACAAATGCAAGCAAAAGGACAGAAAGCAAATTACAAATTGGTGAGTGTGGATGCAGACCCCATACTGTTAGTAAACTTTTAATTTCAAATACGGACAGCCCAAAACGAGAAAGCAAATTACAAATTGGTGCAGTTGTCAGGATGCAGACCCCATACTGTTAGTAAACTTTTAATTTCTTTACCTTTTTCAATACGGAAGGTAGTGACGGAAAACGAGAAGAAAGGACTAAATATCAATTGCAAGAAGACGGAATGCATGGTTGTCGGCAAAAGGGACAGCCCAACAAGCAAATTACAAATTGGTGAGTGTGGATGCAGACCCCATACTGTTAGTAAACTTTTAATTTCTTTACCTTTTTCAATACGGAAGGTAGTGACGGAAAACGAGAAGAAAGGACTAAATATCAATTGCAAGAAGACGGAATGCATGGTTGTTGGTAAAAGGGACATTTTTGGAGATACGAAAATCAAAGCACAAAAATTTAAATACCTAGGAAGTGTTTTAACAGAGGTTAGAAAATGCGACACTGAAATCCGAATGAGCATTGGATAAAGAAAAATGCCTTTCAAAAGCTAAGCAAAGTATTAAGAAACAGAAAATATTTCGTTAGAAGCAAAGAAGAGTACTGAAATGTTATGAAATATTTGTATTCCTATATGGCAGTGAAAACTGGACAATCTACTCGCAGATGAAGAAGAGACTTGAAGGAACAGAAATATGATTCTACAGGAGGATACTGAGAATACCATGTACCGAACATGTGAGCAACGATAAAGCTTTAGAGAAAATGGAAAAAAAAAATGATACTTATAATTAAAACCAGAAAGAGGCAGTTGAAATCTCTGGGTCAAATAATGAGGAAAGAGGGCTAGGAAAATTTGATACTCATTGGACAGATTGAAGACAGAGACCGAGGAGAGTAACTAGCGAGCTTGATTAAATAGATGGCGGAATTTAGGTTTAGGAGAGACAAAATTTATTAAGAGCTACAAAAAATAGGAAAATGTGGAGAGCCATAATCACCAACATCTTGAATGGATACGGCATATAGAAGAAGAAGAAGAAGAAGAAGAAGAAGATTATGATTAAACCAGAAACTCTTTGTAGTTACTTGATAGTTGTATTCAGGAAGCTACTTGATTAATCATGGAAATTTGACTTGCCACTTGCAAAATATTACGGAAAAAACACCCGACGGTATTAACGTAGAGTTAATTCAGCACTGGGTATCATTAGTTTTGAGAAATATGTAAATAATTTAAACGTTTTTCGATATTTCAAAAAAGTGTCTCAGTTGCTGAGATCGTCCTTGAAACATGAAGTCGCTAGGGGGCGTGCCATTGGTAGGATCTTAAGTCACTGCCATTGAAAAGAAGGTCGTTCTATTTTTGGAGTTACAGGACACAATAGTGAATGTATACGAACGATTAAGCCCATAGACAGGCAGAGGATTAAGAGATATTTTATGTTATTTGGTAGCCGATTTTTATGTCGATGTTTTTTTGGTGGAATTCACGAAATGTCAACACTTGTTGGGTTATTGTCCCAAGTTGTGTTTTTGTATTTCAGTATCCACAGGAATATTGGTGAAGAACTGTTGAAGTTCAAACATGACTCTTCTTTGTCCTGGCCATTCTTGTGAAAGACAAAAGTCACCGGTGTCGCCACTAAACTTAATTAACTTCAACAACACTCATTAACAAGTGAAAAAATAACAACTTTTATTTATGGTACTATGATTAATATCATGAATACATAAACAAAAGGGATTTTTTTAAAAGCATTCCACCCCAAGCAAGGCGGGATGCCACTAGTACGCAAGGGGTTACAGAGTGGGAGCGAAAGTTAAGAGGCGTGATGTAGGAAAGGATGAAGAGAAGGACAGGGAATAGGTCAGGGCATCTGGAGATGTCGATTGACATTACATTTGAGTAGTTAGAGATTATAGCTATCAGGGAAACAAGTAATAGGAAGGGAATTCCACAGACAGGAGGTGCGAGACATGAAGCCGTTGAAGTAGAAGAGACGGTTACATTTAACCGTTTCGACAGTGAAAAGGTGGTATCGTGATGCCAGCCTAGTAGCACGCTTAAATTCATGCAGTCTGGGAACTAGCGAAAGTAGCTCGTCGGAGCAGTTACATTGAAAGTATTTGTAGAAAAGACAGAGGGGGGCGACGGCACGTCTGTGAGAGAGCGACTGTAAACGAGATACCAGATCAGGACCAACCACATTGCATATCTGTCACTGGATCTTGTCGAGGATATTAAGGCGAACAGCGGGGGCACCAGACCATATATGGCAGCAGTATTCCATGTAAGGGCGAATAGTTGATTTGAAGAAGTTTCCCCGGATAAGGAATTCTTAAGCAGGGAGGAAGTGCTTGACTGGTGGTTGCAGTTATGGCTAAACAGCCGAGAGTCGTTCAACTATTTAAATGAAGGTACTTGATCGAGAGAATTCGAAAAGCGGCGCTGATGAAAGTCTAAAATGTCCTTTTTTTCACTTTTTTTTATCAAAAATATATAAAAATTTCATGATTCATGAAATAATGGAGAGTGGAAAAATCCCGAAAACAAACTAAAATGTAACATAAAGATAAAATCAAAACAAATGTTAGTAGGACCTGCCCATCCCTCAAAATAATGAGAGAGGCTGGTGTATTCTGCCGCGAGACAGAATCAAGCAGCACACTCACTAATGAAATGGGGAGGGTAAAAATAAATGACGGAATGGGAAAAATCAAAGGCTGATCCAGCCGAGATGAAAACGAGACAAAGAACAGACTGGGGATATTTGGAATCTCGACATGGGTCATAACAAGAATATATATATATATATATATATATATATATATATATATATATATATATATATATATATATATATATATATATATATAGAGAGAGAGAGAGAGAGAGAGAGAGTGTTGGGAACAGAGTGTTGTTCTACCAGCGGTGAAACCAATTCGATCTTACTTTTGATTTTTCAGCAACTGCTTTTACGGGAGGGGTGCAAACCCCTAATGCACTGTTCTGATTGGATAGCCAATAATAATGCTAGACCAATGGTATTGGCTAGCCAATCATAATGCTTGACCGTTGGTCTTGTCATATGCCTTGAAAGGGAGGCAGGAAAGCCTCCAAGGACGCAATTTGGTTGGTGGTTCAGTTAAAATGATGGTTCTGTGTCAGAAGGTGGGGAGATGAGAAACTCGGTCTCAGCCTTTCTCTCATTGTAGGCCAATCAAAATTGTGGCTTTCCATTGCTCATATCCACCTTCAGTGGCACTGGGTGCCCCATACTTTCGGCCTTGTGCCACATCTGAGCTACGTTTGGAAAATCTCTATCCACCTTCAGTGGAACATTTTTCCTTTTTCCGGAATCTCACCCACATTTGACCTGATTATTACAGGTGTCATCATCAATTCTATCTGAAAGTGAGTTATATCACTGATCAAAACAAACCTGACCTGTAAAGATTTGCTTTGTGTCACTCATTTCTATGAACAATCAAATGAAAAAAAAAAACAACAAAAAAAAATCTCAAGTTAAACAGACTTAAGACCTAAAACTGTACCTAACGACCAATCCCACCCAAGCTTACAATTTCACCTCTCACACTATAATCCATAAATTACATAAACCAGATAATTCATGTCATCACATTGTTTTACTTTTAACATTAAAATGTTTTTATTTCTCTAGAAATAAAAAGTAGATCACCAGTCAAACTTTGACACCAGTCATGGTGTAATAATATAGTTACTAATGATTTCTACACACCGAGGCACCACGTCGACGTTTTTTGACTTTGAGAATGCAGTAACAAATACTGTAATACATGTCCTTTGTCATTTCCGTTTTTTACTTTTTTATGCTATGAGTCACCTAATACAAGGCCGAAGAGTCATTTAAGGTAGAGGGTTACTGAAAAAATATTTTGCTCTAAGGGAGTAAAGGGAGGAAGTAAGTAGGACACATTATGTAGAACATATAACGGTTGACCCTAGACTTGAAGAGATTAAAATCGCAGTGATTGAAGAAGCATCCTCTCAGGGCCGGAGCTAGGGTCTGGCCCCGCTCCGAGATTTTGATACGGGGCCCTCCTCTCTACCAATTCTCGATATCAAAGTTTCCCAACCTAGGGCCACAAAACCTCGTAGGAAAATTGGTGGGGAGAAGGGCAGTGATTTTTAAATTACCAAAAATCACGAAATTATCTAATTTAAGTGAAAATTTCAGTACATATTCATAATTTACTTTTATAATGAATGATATTTTTATTTTTAAAGAACATGAGAAAATTTTATTCTTTTTGTAATAACCTCCAATATTTTCATAACTAAATTTTAGTGGAAAAAATTTTTATGTCGCAAATTTTTACATTTCCATAAAGATTAATCGCCGACGCATCTCCGCCGAAAATTTTTTTTTTTACAAAGATTCCAACACAACACAAACGGGATTGTCTTAAAAATTTGTTTTAAAAACAGTATTTCAGTTTTCGGGAAAATTTTTCATGTGTTGAAATTTTTAAACATTTTTATTTTTAGGCGATCATTTTCTCGGTTTTATGTTTCTAATAATGTAAAAAAAAAAAAAAAAAAAGAGATTAGAAATTTTATTTTAATTACTAGGCGTGAACTTCTGGTTAGTATTACTAATAGTAAAAAAAAACAAAAAAACAAATCAGAGATTCTCCTTAGTCGATGATCACGAAATAAAAACTGATTTTACCAAGATATATTACCCTCTTAATTGATTTAAAAGAACTCTTCTGAAAGAAAATTACAATTTAAAAAAATAAGCGCCACTGAAATTAGCACTTCTGCCCCCACTCCTCCCTAGTAGGGATGGGGCCCCCCACACGATTGAGAAATCTGGGGGTAATAGGCACCGTCCCTGTCGATTATTTTAGGTGATGATTGACAATATAACTTAGCTAGAAAAAAAAAAGCAAAAAATACAAAAGGCAAAAAATTGCTGCTGAAACTAGAGCTTTTAGGGCTCAAACCACGTCGTCCTGCGTAATACGCACCGCACTGGACATGCAGACACACGATGTATATTATTAGTTGATGTAACGTCAGTTTTAAAACAATAATAACAAAAATGGCAGATGTCCATAAAACAGTGCTGAAAAACAATGGCAGAAACCATAACGAGGCCACAAAAAATACAACCCCCCTCGCTCTCGGTTGGGGGTTTTGGTGGTAAGACATGACGACCCTGCTTCCTCCGTACCAGTGTAATACGTAGGGAATGAAAATGAGTCGATCTTTTGAATGTGGCCTGGCTGTGAAGATTGGAACTAAAAATTGTAGCTTGTCTGAACATTTTCCATGGAAATAGAGTAACGAGAGGTTAGTAAAAATTCGTTTGTGGGAAAGGGATTGTAGGGTAGAAAATAATTCATCACCCACAAAGCTGCGTAAACGCTTGTGAACACTGTCAAGCGTGGACTGGGTAGCCTTTTAGCCTGATGTGACTCTTGTAAAGATAGAGTGCGTCAGGATGAGTCAGGTACTTTCAGAGGCGGTGAAAGGAACTGACTATTTTCTCAGCATCTTTAGAGAACGTACGAATATACGAGTTCCACTAGCTGTTTACTGTGAACTTTTAGTCTCAAGCTTTCTCCACTCAAAGTAAAAGTTTACCGAATGGCGTGCGTGGCATGAATGTAAGAGGGGGAAGCAGGAAGTGAAAATATATAATCATTGATATATGGTTTGAAGAGGTTAAGATCGTAGTGCCCAGGGAATCGTCGACGTGGGCGTCTTTTTCACAAATTAGCAGTTTGGAGGTAAAAGCTGTTTTTTTTTTTGTTTTTTTTTTCTTTTATCGAAAATGGCTATGAAATTACTTTTCTGTATGAAGATAACCTTATCAATGTTGGCATTTTATTTCGCTGTTCATCTCATGATATATAACGATTCGCCCTCAAAGTATTAAAAAATCTTTTTGCTAAAATATCTGGCCCACAAAATTTATAATTTTATGAATAAAAAGATCTTTTTTGCTGAAAAGGAAAAGAAAATTTCCGTCGTAATATATTCAGCAAGCATAATTTTTCAAGATAAATGCGTGTCCTTTTAATTATTTCGTCATTGTAGGTGTCACATTTAAAATTAATTCATTCATTTTCACAAGTGTTATATTCATAATTAGTTTAGACGAGTTCAATGGATTTATGTTGCAAGATAATATAAGTTTATGATCAGCCAGTCATGTTACTGTCTCCAAGCAATGGGCAGTTGAACACATCGACCATATGACGTTTATAATGAATCTGTTTTTTATTAATTTAGTCGTTATTTTTAGTGGATGCCCTCATTTGAATAGACGCTTCGTTTATTTATTAAACAGTATATTTGTTTATTTTCGTCTACCGGCCTGAATATTCTAGAAATCTTATTACAGTGATATATGCGTTCTCTGTCAGGATTTGAACCAGCGTCCCTAATGGCAGGGGTAAAGGTCGTTAGATCCGACGTGCTTTAGACTGTCTCGGCCACGAAGTGCGTCGACGATTAAACATGATCAAGCGTGTCGGAGATAGATAGATACGAATAGACTGCAATATATATATATATATATATATATATATATATATATATATATATATATATATATATATATGGGAGAGATAGATAGATAGATAGATAGAGATAAGAATAGACTACGATTGAAAGATATAGACACACAAATAGTCTGCGATTGATATATACGAGTAGACTGCAATAGATAAATACGAATGGACTGCAATAGATAGATAGATAGATAAATAGATAGATAGATAATGAACACACTCAGATAGATAGATAGATAGATAGATAGATAGATAATGAACACACAGATAGATGTGAACAGAATGAGATTGAGAGATAGATAGATGTGAACAGGATGAGATAGATAGATAGATAGATAGATAGATAGATACGAATAAGCTGCGATAAATAGATAGATACGAATAGACAGAGATAGACGGATAGATAGATAGATAGATATACAAACAGATAGATAAACAGAAAGATAGATAGACACGATAAATAGAAAGAAAATCTATCTCACCTTTTCGTATTTGTTGACACTACAGATCGTAATGTCGAATTCGTGTATTAACAATAACAATTTTTTTAAAACTTGAAGTTTATCAGATAATAGATCGTGATAATTCTGGAAAAAAGAAAAATGTGATACTATTTTTTTATGCAAGGCCATGGAATAAAATCTTTCAATACACGTCATATCATGAAAGCGTGTAAATAAAAAACAGAGCCAACTATAATAATTACTGTTTCGTATTTGATCTCTGGGGAAATTGTAATGGTGAAATTAACCGTCTTCATTCGACATTCATTAAACGAACAGTTAGCGTTATTGTCGGTTGAGATTTATCAAATCTTTCATTAAAATATTTTTTCAAGAAAACAGACTTCTTTTGGCCAGTAACTGTTATCGCTCTTTCTAGTATTAAAGGAAATTTCCTTCCAAACCGTCCATATTTTGATTAGTTTTCCTTCTAGTTACATGTGCGTTTTAATTGTTGCCGTTGGAGGTTTTCAAGTGATGTAGTTTTGTTATTTTGTAAAACTCTTAGTGATTCTGTATCGTCAGTCTATAGAATCTGACGAAGGAGTGTCTTTTTAAAATGCGAAATTAATAAACAGGGTCTGTATCAATAAGCTTGTGTGGGACGGAAAATTTAATAAAAAAATGATCACCCGCCTCCTTTTATTGTTTATTTAGTCTCCATTGTTAAAACAAGCGGGGTGGATCAATGAAGGACAACAAAGAAGTGACTTAAGCTTATCAGTGAAAATATAACACGTTGACTAACAGAGGTCAGTTACGAAATCTGACATCAACATTGAACACTTCAACCTGATCTAAGGGTTAAACAAGCTTATCTCGTATCAATTACTATTGAGTAGTGAGTTCGATCTTCGCTAAGTACTCCATATTTTCGGCCTTGTACCACATTTGCGCTTTGCTTAGTAAATCGCTATAATAGTCAACATTGATCATGTTTTTTTCTTTAAAAATCTTTGTTCATGTATTATATCTTCAGTAAACTTTTCCCACAAAAAAATTCGTTTTTAGCTGACAAACGATTTTTCCTTCCCGCCTTTGACAACAGGTATCTTCTACTTGCGTCAAGAACAATAGAAAGAAAAAAAAAACTCGTGGTTGTCGCCTTGATGGCAAGACCACAAAACTGTGATGACTCGTGGTCAGCGTCATTATAAAAACCGCCAACCACTTGTTGGCAGTTAATGCGTTAACACGTCAATGATAAGTCATAGGAATCTTTAGAAAAACAAGCTTTTAATTTTATTACTATCGATTGTATCCGTCCATAAACAGATATATATTCTTTATTGAATTCTAGAAAGAAACTGATCATTCAAAAATTAGGTCGCTTTTACGCTTGTATTCAACTCGTTAGAATCTGATGATCCGCGCCGTAGTATTTGACTGTGTCACTTATCATTTGTTCGCGATCTGTATCGGTTTCTTGATGCTTGTCAACAGGAGAGCTTCTTTTCACACCAGTTTCTTTTTTTTTTTTTTTTTTTGTTATTGAGGTTTCCGTCCCTAGGTAACTCAGGTTTTGTCTGGCCTGTTCTGGCGAGGTTGAGATAAACTTCCGCCAACATAGCTCTCCGGGTCATAGGATCACGCAAGTCACTCTACCACGTCAAGGTACTTAACCCATTTTAGTTAGCTGGATTCTACGGTTGCTACTGGGAGTTTCGACCACTAATACTGAATCGTACTTGCAATATAAGCGTGAAAGCAACTGAAAACCAACATGACTAGTAAAACTAATTCTTCATACTACATCGCTCGTCGCGTAGGTCAACAGCAAGGAGCCCGTCCTTTTAACAGGGAAGAATGGAAGAAACTGGTTAATGCTGTTCGAGTCCACTCGAAAAAAGAAAGAATTACACTATGGTATATACAGAACCTTTTAAGAGCATGGACTGTGTGACTGTCACTAAACACCAGCGAAATGAAAATAAACACATTTTAACGATCTGAAAATTACAGCTACTATGTTTGCTGAATGTCCTTAATATCACTGTTCGATAAAATAATTCATCATATCCTGCGATCTCTTATATAAAGGAACGTTTGTTTATGTTTTGTTAGATTATAGAACTTTTCTAAAAATAGTCACGAGTCTCCCTGTTGTAACTTATGTATCAAACGAGACATTTCTATTTCTCTTGATTATATTCACGAACTGGGAAAAAAATAAAAAATAAAAAAAGCTCTCTTGACCATTAAATCTATCTAATTGTTTTATGATTAAACTTTACTGATGTCTCATAACTAAGCCTTGATTTATCGATACGATGTGAATAAGTCCTTAAAGTTTCATTAAAATCTGACAGTTATCTGCTTTATGCAAGAATTTCCAAATCAATGTATTTTTCACAGCAAAAAGACTCAAATTTTCCATACAGATTTATGACCCCACGTTGACGTCAGAAAAGGAATATTTTAAACCAAAATTTCGAAGGTTCTAAAAAGTATTAAAAAAGAAATTGCATAAAAAATTCTTTGGTCTTTCCTCTGAATAATGACACAAATATTTTGAAGATAAAATTTAGACATTATTATGTTTTGGACATTTTTATTGTCATGTATGTTCATCTTTTAGCGGAACTTTGGAGGTACCTAAATAGATAGAATACCAAAATGGAGCTATCAGTTTGTTGATCAGCAATCACAGGTCTATGCTCAAAAGGATGTATTCAGCTGGACAAAATTGTTCGTTTTTCTCTTGTTTTTATCAGGAGACTATATGTAATGTGTAGAGAAATGTAAGTATTTAATTTCGACTCATTGTCAAAATTCCGGATATCACAGACGATGTAAATAACTGTTTGTAGGATATGTAGGAAGGTGGAGACTTTAAATGGTCATAAACTTCCGTGTTTTACAGACGATGTTGGTATGGTAGATGAAAGATAGAGAAAAGACAGGAAAGATATATAAAAGTTTAATTAAGTATTCGTTTTACTTTTGTTAGCAGTGGGACAACTTTGGGTTTATTTTTTTTTTTTAAATATTTCTGTACAGTGTAACCCGGATATAAGAGAGTTGTCGGGACCGGAGAAGAAGTCTCTTATATCCGGGTTTCTCTTATATCCGGGTTTGGTCTAATTTATATACATTAACACAGGCTCTAATTAGGACCAGAGAAAATCTCTCTTATATCCGGGTTTCTCTTATATCCGGGTCTCTTACATCCGGGTTACACTGTATTTGCTTATTCTGCCTATAGCAAACTATCTAATTTAATTATATTATATCTTTATTTACTTATTTAATTGTCTGGTCATATTTGGGATCGGGTCGAAAACTTTCAGTAAGTCGTCATAAAGCCGATTTAACATAGGCACCTCCACTCAGTCTCGATACCTTGGTTTAAAAATGAAATGTTAAAAATGAAAAATCATTCTTGAAGCTATCTTTTTAGCTTCAACTGAAAGCTAAATGATTAAATTTATTATTTACAGTAAGTAAAATATTCGGGTGTACTTAAAACAGAAATTATATAGATTAGAATGGTCGCTTTTAAAAGATCCTCTTACAAGCGGCCATTTTCTCACTTTTTATGAAATTTGTAAACAAAATAAAATTATCGGTTTTAAAAATCTTCCAAAAAAAGAAGAAAAAAAAAGAAAGAAAAGTGACACGTCTGAGTAAAATGAGCAAATTTAAAGTAAAAATTAATCTGATTTGAAACAAATATTACTTATAGCATAAAAATAGTATACAAACATTTTTTAACGACGGGTCCTGTTTTTCTCATGTATTTATTTATTGACGTTATCGACGTTATCGATAAGTTACAAAATGCCGCGAGCTAGTATGGATGACCAGAACTGACATAAATTTACGAAATCTAAGTGAACGCATTTTTTTTTTTTTTTAAGTACCTAGTAATTTTTACAAAGTAACATATTTTCCGCAATTATCTTATATTCTATTGGCTTTTAGTTACGCTTGAAGATGCTTTATGAAAAAATAATACATTTTTAAAATAATATAAAATTTTCTTGGATTAATTTTAAAATTTAATAACCGAGATGAAATACCGTGATAGAAGTAAAAATCAATAATTTATGAAATGTTATGGTATTTTATTTATTATTAATTTATATTTTTTAATATATTTTTTTCATTTCCTTCTTTATTATTAATTATTATCATGATGGTTATTTTATTATTAAATTTTTATAGTAATTTAAATTTTATTATTAATTATATAATTGTTTAAACTTAATCCAAGAAGCAACATTTAAAAGCAATTGCTACTTGTGCAACAGAGAAAAGACTTTCGAGAATATTTTGCAGCCCAAGATTTTCTAAAACAAGAAAATTCAAAAATAATTTCATTTGTTTGTGAATAATTTCTGAAAGTTTCATTAAAATCCAACAATTATTTAATTTTTGCAAGAATTTCCAAATCAGTGTGTTTTTCACCGGAAAAAAAGCGCAAAAAAAGATTTCATTGTAAAACTTACCTACGTCGCTGGCGTAAAAAAGAACAGGATTTTTAACCAAAATTTCGAACGTGTTAGTAAGGTTTAAAATTTTTTTTTAAATAATTAAAAAATACCTTGGTCTTTTCACTTTATAATTACAAACATTTTGACGATAAAACTTCGTTTTTATTAAGTTTTGATCCTTTTTTTTCATCATGCTATGATTTTTTTTCAGCGAGCAAGTGGAAGTGACTAATTTAACATTATCATCTAGCCACTTCTAAAGAATCACAGTCTTTTGGGAGTTAAGTCATTTAATTAAAAAAAGAAAAAGGAATATAAGATTAGGACAGGGCCGGCGCGTACTACAGCCAAACTCCCCGACCGGGCTCTGCATTATGACCCTCGCTATCTGTTGTGTAGGAAGACGACCGACCTTTCTCTACACTAATTGTTGAACATGGATTCGTCCATTTGCTATGAGTAGAACATCTGCTCATAGGAATGGTCGTCGCAAAGTGGATTTTTATATTTATGTCAATTTAGTGGTAGTAGAGGACCCCCCCT